AGGCCAGCTCGGCTCAGGAAGATGGGCTGGGAGATAGAAGAGCCTCTCTCTTGCCTGCAAATTGCACCCGGCAGCTGCTTCATCCCTCCTTTGCTGTTGCAGGCCCCTTAGTGGCCACTGTACGGGCTCCTGTGCAGAATCTGGATGAAAATATGACTACCCAAGCTGCTGCTTTTCCCTAGTACCTCTGGAACTTCACTGACCCTCAATAATCTTAACTTTTATCATGTCTCACAGACCTGGAGCTTCTTTTATACTGAACCACTGTGACTCTCCCCCAGCCTGCACACAGGCTCCTCTCCACACAGATGCTGCTCTCTGTCTGTGGATGCTTTTCCCATTACTGTTCTGGCTGGGCTCCACACACCAAAAGGGCTGGGGAAGGCACAAGCCAGTGCTGCACCCCCTTCCCTTCCCTTCCCTCCCTTTTTTGTGAAATGAAGGCAGAGCGGGCCCACAAATGACATAATGAGAGCATGACATCAGGCTTGGCAGGCAGAGGCGTGCTATACTCTGCTCAACATTATATGTTCTGTGGAATTAAGAGAAAAACAGCAGTGTACCAAAAAAAGCCTGTCCACCACAGTGCTGCAGAAAGAAAGCCCCTGGCTGTCCCCGGCTCGCAGCTGAGGGGCTGTGGAGCCTGTCTGAGCATCATGAAGGGACAAAGCAGGTGGCACCAAGCCCTGCTGCCTTCCAGCAGCAGGTCTCTGAGGTGCTTTTTACCCCCAGAAAGCTACCTGGTCCCATCTGCAGGAGATCTTGCTGGTGGCATTTGGGACTGGCCTGTCCTCACGCTCTCTCGGGGAGGTGACTGTTTGTTGTCCCTGCAGTACACGCAGCTCTGGAGAGGTTCCCAGCACCCAGCATCACACAGGGAGTTGGTAGCAGAGCTGGGATGGAGCTGAAGGTTCCCAAGGCTCAGGTTGACACCCTCGTTCCCTTATCTGAAGCTTCACCTTCCCCACATGACCAACTCCACTTCTAGAGGAAGTTTTTTGAAATCTTCCTTTGCAAGGCATGTAAATTAAATGTCCCTGTGTTTGCTGGGGTGTGGAGAGAGCTGCAAGGGAGATCTTTTACACGGTTCTTGTTTTGTACTGTAGTTGTTGATGGGTTTTGGTGAAGTTCTGCAGAGGAGTGGGCTGGCCCTCCCAGCCTCTGGCATGGCACTGCTCCATTTTACAGGTGTGGAAACTGAGGCAGGATCGCAAAGTTGTGACTTGCCGATAGCTGCCCTCTTTCAGGCAGCACAGTGTGTTCTCGATATCCCTTGTGGCGCAAATAAACCTAAGTTTTTCTTTCTTCTCCTGGAGAGGGTGGCAGTCTGCGTGCACGGTGCATTTCAATGGAGAGCCTTGTTTTCTGCTGGCTTCAGCTCTGCTTTGAACCTGCTCTGAATTTCCTCCAGCCTGGCAGTGGGCTGGGAAAATACAGTCGTGGCAGTTTGTGGCACTGACAGGCTGAGCTCTGTCCCACAGCCTTTGCACTGGGTTTTATTGCTCAGTATTTCCTGATTTATTTTCTTTTTTTCTGCGACCTAGCTTGGTTCACAGCCATCTTTCCCATGCCAGGAAGGCATAATACGATTTTCCATACAAGTTGGAGAGGGACCAGTGGGAGAAGGCAAGCAGGCAGCTGGGAGCCCAGCTCACTGACTCGCGGCTGGAGGTGCCAGGCATTGGCATCCGCCACCGTTCCTCGCACCTCCAAGCTGTCCTGTCAACAGGAGCTCTGCTTCTCTTGCAGGCTCTGCACCAGGGAGGTCTGGGGAGGTTCAAAGCTGGGAGGTTTTATACCAATTCTTCATCAGATCATGAAGCAAGAGTAGAAAATAGCCAGGGAATTGTGCTCGGGTTTGTGGGTACCAGTGGGTTGCCATCTAGTGCCTGGTCTGGATAGAGTTCAGCAGCATCTGCGGGTGCTGGACGGGAGCTCAGGCTGTGGAAGACAAGAGGGTGGGAGCCAAGGTCTTGGGATCCCTTGGAGAACATGTGGGTTGTAGTTAAGTGGCAAAGTGCTTGAGTTAATTACATCCTCCAAGGGTTCAGAGCATCTTGCAGCCTCGCCTGGGAACAGCCCCAGATTACTCCTTTGAAACTCACTGGTGAAGCTTCTCTGCATGCTGGGCCACGGGTCCACGTTGGCTTTGGCAGTAGTGGGTGCCAGGTAGATGGGTGAACTCAGATGATAATATCTCAGGCATCCGCTCGGTGATGGTGTGTGCAGAGCGACAGCCACGTTGTGCTGTCAGGAGAAGCAGAAAAAGGCACAGGAGCCCTGCCCAATCCTTCCACCGTGATGCCGTGGAAGCTCACTGGGGCACAACAGTGCTGATACCCCAGGACATGCATCGAGTGTCTCGACACCCTCACGAGCTGTCCTGGTTGTACAAAACAGCCCAGTCCCTTGAGCAAATCGGAGGATTGAGGGGTTGTCAGTAGTGGGGTGAAAGTTCTTCCTGACCCTTCCTGAACAAAATTTGATGGCTGCAGCCACGGCACCAGGGTGCTGCACCCCTTGAGTCCCTGATGGATCCCTCCAGGAGCTGAGCGGAGCGTGCAGCTCAGCAGGCAGTGACATCTAGTGTCAGTCCAACACGCTGTGGAAAAGCAGCACGGAGGGGGGAGTTACTGCCTGGATTTGCATTTTACCTGTTTGCTGAGGCTGGTGGGAGCAGCTCTGCCCCTGAACATCTTCCTGGAGGTCACTGTCATCCCTAGTCCTGCTCTTGGGTGGGGATGAAGCTGACTGACCCCTGGGAGTTGAGGATTTGGGGTCTTGGCCTTCGCTTTATCTGAAGTTTCAAAGCTTTCTCTGAGATGAAATGGAAATAATGATAAGGGATGTTTGTAAAGGCCTGGGGGAGGCTCAAGGACTAACCACCTCCTCCATGCCTGGCACTGTGGCAGCGGGACAGGAACGAGCAGACCTGCACTGCTGGAGTCCTTTACTGCCTACCTTGGGCAGCGGCGAGATGGCAGAGAGCTGCAGAGGAGGCAGCTGGGCTTGGGGCCATGTGTCCCGATACCCTGCCTGGCTCAGGTGCCCCCTTGCCTGATTGTGCCATCCATGATGGTGAGAGGTTCACCCTGTCCTTCACACTCTCTCTTTGCAGCCAAGCAACCCTTTTGAAGGGGTTTTTTGAAATGGCAAAGCCTGGATTTTGTAGCAGCAGACTGGTTTGTTTTGAAGGTCTCTGTTGTCTGGGCAAGGAGCAGGGAGGCATTGAATCTGAAACATCATTCCCTTCCATCCTGGGCTTGAGGTGCTGCCTGAAAACTAAATAGATTATTTTCAGGTATTTCAAAGGAGAAGAGAAAGAGTTGTACTGGTCTCCCTGAATAGTAGATGGTTGGTGTCTGGTTCTTTACAGAACTGGCCAAGTAATGCAGGAAGGTGCAGAGGCAGAGTAAAATGCCTTTACAGAAAATGCTGAAGTAAAAGTGGAGCAGGAGCCTCCCTGAGGAAGAATCTAGCCTGGCTGGGAGCTGTTGGGATTCCAGTCCAAGCTGTCTTGTGGGTTTATCTTGCGAGTGGGAGCTGGAAACAGGTTTGGCGGTGACTTTTGTGTCCCCTGTGCAGAATGTGACTCCCATGTGGTCTGTGTCACTGCAGGAAAGGATGCTCTGTATTCTTGGCCTGTTGTCTGAGTTACGCTGAGACAAAAGGGCACTGGCTTGCTTGGATATTTTTGATAGCATCCTTTTTTTGAGTGTATTGGTTGAACTTTTGTTTTGCACATTTCTTGGACTTCTTTATTGGTGTTGCTGGTGAACTCTTCTGAATCCACTGTCGGCTTGGCACAGAACTCCCAGACAGCAAAATCAGGGAAAATAAACCTTTTAAAGAGACATCCATCCCTGTTACTTATCCCCAGAGTTTCCTGGAATCATACGTAATTTTCCTGCCAGTTTGGCAGAATTCTTTTCATTTGAATAAATTAAGTTTAAATGTCAGATCAAACCAAGAATGAATTGATTAGGGGATAAAAAGAAGAGGTGAGACAGCAAGGAGAAATTATGGGAGATGCTTGTAGAAAAAAGGTGAGAAAGGAGGAGGGCAGAAGAAGGTCTCTGTTGACATGGGATGGTGCGGCTGGTGAATCCAGCCCTGTCCACCGCCCTGGGGCTCTTAAATCCTTGAAGGATAATAAGCATTGTATGGGCTCGGAATAAGTATTTTGGTGCTAAAAGAAGGTTTTGGCCAAAGGAGATTATCTGAAACCAGAGAGTGAAGTTTATTGAGAACAAGTGGAGATGGATCAGCGAAACTTTCACTTCTTAGCTGAGTGACATTTTAAAATTGGAAAAGAGGACGTGGGGTGAAAATTGAGAGCTGGACTGGAGGACAGAAACAATTTTGCTTTGGATGAGTTGAAGGCTATTGGTGTTACAGGGAGCAAATAGAAATTTTCTAAAACAGTGTTCCTTTTATAAGGACAATCTAACCTGATTTTAAACGGAAAATATTCTTTGTTACCTCTTCTTTCATTTTAAGCTTTTCCAAAGAGAGACAAAATTATCTTTAAAATGTAAAAGTTGAACACATCAACTGTGTAATTAATGATCAGTTCTTTGGCACTAGAAATGAACTTGGAAGTTTCTTGTAAATTTTTCTCTAAGTTAATTGCTACTTTAGTCTAAATTATTTCTTAATTACTTCTTTGAACGTACATTAGCCTTGAATATTTTTTTAAAAGGATACATCAAATTTAATAATACATTTGTCATGTCTGTAATTACTCTAGATCTGCTGCAGAATGGTATGTGTGTAATGATAGTCCTAGTCTGTATCTACACATTATACAAAGCTTTGAGTGGCAAATGCTTTATAGCTGGGAAAGGTGTTTTCTTTGGCTGGGAGAAATGCTCCACTGTAAAACACCAAAACCTTCCGCTCTGGAGCCTGGAGAAAGGCTCTTCTAAGGTCTGGTAATGGTGGAATGAAAAAATGAAGTTGACCGAAAGCTGAAAATTGTGTTTTCTTTCTCTAGGGATCTTTCCAATAACAAGATCAGTGGTTTAGATGTTCAGATGTTCGAAAGCCTGACTTCTCTGGCAAAACTGTAAGTATACAATGCTCCCTCTAGTCCTCCAGCTCGCCATGCATGCTTGAGCTGGTACCTAGAACACTTGCTTGTGTGTCATAAGTCAGCCTTGTTCTTGCTTGACTTCGTCTGTCGAGCCCTGATGGATGTGCCCATGGACTCCTTCTCAAGGCCTTTAGCTTCACGGTCCGAGGATTCACTTACTGGTATTCAGGGACTTGGGCAGGATTTGACCCACTGTATGGAAAGGAGATCAAGGAAGGAGAATAAGATCTGTCACAAGATGTGTGTTAGTGCATGGAAAATGATGGTAAAGCTGCGGTGTCCAAACCCCACTTGTCCTCAGAGGGAATTGGGTACTGAATTGGAGGGTCCTCTGAGGAGCCCGGCATGTCCCACTACTCCCCACAGCTTGAGCTGCCCTGTTTCACTAGAACTGCCCAGGCTCTGTGAGCCAGGACAGGGAGAGATTTAACCATTAGCAAACTCACTGGTTCAGCTGCTGATAGATGAGTTTCCTCTGTTAACTTGCTGATGGTTCCTAGAGAAGATTAACTGTTTTTTAAAGAAAAATTGGATTGTCAGATCAAAAAAAGGCACCAATCGAGCCAGCACTGAAACCTGCTTTGGTGGTTCCAGCTGAGTAGCTGACAGCCTGGACAGCCTGCCTTCTTTACACCTCAAAACTCTCCTAAAAGGAAGAGGGACTAAGCAGAAGGACTGGGAGCACTGGAACTGGACTTGAACATGGGAACAGGCTACTTAGAGTGGTTGTGGGGTCTCCATCCTTGGAGATACACAGCAGCAGTCTGGACGTGGTGCTGGGCAGTCCACTCTGTGTGATTCTGTAACATGGTGCCTAGCTGGATATTTTCCTGTCATATCTGTGTGACTTTTGAGACTAAAGGTGCTCAGAGGGTAACTCTGTCCCAAGCAGAACTTTGGACAAGTTAATTCTGTATGTTGGCCAGGAAGTTGTTACCATCGTGATGAACTTTCCTTTTCATTTTCTCTCTTTTACAGAGATATAAGCCACAACAAGATTTCTACATTAGAAGATGGAATATTTGATAATTTATTTAATTTAAGTGAAATGTAAGTTCATCCTCTTTGTTTTCCAGTTCTTTATTTAGACCTTTCCTTGAATCAGCTCTTCCCTTCCTCGAGGGGTGGGATGCAGCACTGTCTTGAGGAAGATCTGGGGCATGTACCCAACCAAGCAGCTGCCTTTGGACGCTCTCTGGTTTCTTCCTCAAGCTGTGTCCTGCTCCTGGCTCCTGTTGGTACCCTTCAAGCCTAACCTATTCCTAGACTTTCCTTCTGTCTCCCGGATACCTCCAACCTCTGCCACTACCTTTGTGGCTTCCCTGCTTCTCTCCCACACCAGATCTGAGGTTCTGGTCTCTGGTTGTGCTCTGGGTCACATTTACTGTTCCTGTTTGTACGGGTACACCTTGGGACAGGGGCATCTAATGAACAGGGCACTGACCTGCAACACGGAGACCCTGACTGAGGTGTCTCAGTCACTGGAAGACATTTGAAGATGTTCTCCCTGAGTGATTCAAGTTTTTAGCCCTATAGTGGTTTTTAATTGAAGTAATGAAAATCTGTGCTGTTATGTGAAGTGAGGTGAGGGGAAGCCACACATTTCCAGGAGAAATGCATGAAGTCACAGCCCAGAATGGCAGTTCTGTATCTGAATGAGCCAAAGGATTAACCCCTTGCAGTCACTCTTGGCAGGCAAGAAGAAAGCTCAGCCACACGTTCTCCCTGAAAACAGTACACAAAGGGCATTTTCAGCTCTGCATTTTTGCTTACAAGTGGCACTGAAAAGACACAAAGGCTCCAGGCTAGACCCAAGTGAGTCTGTCCCTGCTAAGACTGGCTGGCAAAGTGGTGCTTTAAGTCAGAAAATCCTGGGTTCAGCCCCTGCGGCAGCCCAGCCCAGCTGGCGTCAGCTAAGCAAACAGCTTTCCATCTCTGTCCTGTTCGCAGCTGAGTGCCAAAGGCTGTAATTTGGATCAAGCTTAGCTGCAATTAAAGTTTCCATCTTTTCATTAAATTGCCACATGGAAAGATTATCATTGACTTTGCATTTCTTTTTTGACAGATCAATTTTATTCTCTTAGCTATTTTTTAATGGAGCTGTAAATAGTCTCCCTTAGCTGGAGAGGCTGCCATTACATCCAATGGCTGTTAGATGGCAGACTATTTTAAATATAAGATTGTGTCTGTAATTTGCTTCTAATTGCTACAATTATTTGTAGAGTTAAAAAAGTACTTGGAGTACTTGCCTAATTCTAGCCTCTAGAAAAATCATGTTAATTATTGCTTGATTCCCTATTCATTAACTCCCCTTGCAGCTCTTGCTGAAGCATTTCAGTGGAGTGGCACAGATGGAAACAGTGAGGGATCTGCACGCTGCTGTAATTAACACTTAGCACATGTCAAGTTAATGCCTAACTTTTGTCTGATCTCCCTGTTACAGAAACTTAAGTTGGAATCCATTTGTTTGTGACTGCAAACTTTCCTGGTTGCCCCGTTGGGTAGAAGACAGAAAAGTGAAAGTTATTCAGGCATCAGATACAAGATGCACCCACCCTCCTGAGGTGGCAAACCTTTCCCTCTTTGATGTCTCCTTCATCAATGCTACTTGTGGTAAGGAAACGCTGTGGGCTGTGGCAGGGAGATGTCGAAACCATTGGAAACCATGGGCCCAAGGGCAGCCAGGGATCACATCTACACCTCTTTAGACCTCAAGTCACCAGTTCTAATCTAATTTAGAAAATAATGGTAGGATATGACTGTACTCTGATGCCTTGAGGATTGAGTCAGTCACACCAGGGCTGAGATCAGCAAACTCATTACAGAGCAAGCTTCATGCAGCTGTCAGAACACACTATGACCTCCAGCCCCAGGCTTTTAACAGTCTGACTTTAAGCAATGAAATCTCACTGGAGTTGAGGGGACCTGCAGACATACTAAGTTGAATCTTTGAGGTGACAGGGCTTCATGTTGGGAGGGTTGAGTAAACACTGCCCTGATCTACAGCCCATCACTCGCTCCAGGTGCATTTTTTTGCGTGCCTTGGCTAGCAGAAGTGTGGGATGATGTTCACTTGGAAGATGGGAGGGGGAGAAGTAAGAAAACTAGTCTTGCCTGGATGCTCAGCTAGCTCCAAGTAAGAGAGAGGGAGGGAGAGCAAGTGCTCCCCCCAACAGGCATCAGGCATCTCCTTTAATGCGTGATGGGAGGATGCAGTGATGGGGCCTGAGGGAACCAGAGCTGGTGGGAGCCAGCTGAGCCACCTCAGTGCTCCCCAGGGCCAAAACCTGGGTGGTGGATGCTTCTCTTTCCCCAGCCTTGCAGCTCCTTGCGGGAATTATCAAAGGGAATAACACCACACTGTTATTCCCCTTGATAATTAGTTGTTCCCCTCTTGAACTACTTCGAGTTAGTGTGGAAACAATAATGTGAGGCTGTCTTCCGCGTAGTTCAGTGTAATGGGAGTAGGCTGGGGACAGCCTGCCAGCTACTGACAAGACAGGGAACGAAGAAGTATGACCAGGCTGGTGTTAAAAAGCAAAGTAGTTCCCATGCTGTGGTCTGCCGTGTGGGATTTTTCTTAAGAAAAGTGGCTCAGCGTTTGCAGGAATGCCGTGGAGAAAGATGGACAGTTGGATGGATTCGGTGTGGGAAGGTCACACGAGGCTAGAGCTGTTAAGATGTTTGGGGGGAGATGTTGTAGCAACCAGCAGAAACAGAGGAGTGAACGTGGCTGGGTTGCGTGGGCAGAGCTGGAGCAGAGGCCAGGCAGTCCCAGCTGGGCTGTGGCTATGCATGCGGCAGAGGCCCTGCCTGTGTCTTTGTGGCAGAGAAACATCCCACCCCTTGCAATCCAGTGAGGGGGAAGTAAACTCAAGGGAATGACCTGTTGCTCTGAGAATGGGGCTGTTGTGGCTGCCGTCATCATATGTGCCTGCGTGTCCATGCACACGTGTGTGTGTGTGCTCCATGTAGCCAGGCGTGTGTTGTTCCTATGCATCCTTCCCACGAATGCATATGTGTACATCCTTCCACACCTGCTGGGTGCAGGCTGTGTGTGGCACTGCCCTCTTTTCTAGCACCACATTTTGCCTGTGAATAAGTGGGAAGCTCTAGGCTCTCTCCAAGAAGGAAGGTAACTGTGCTGTCCAACAGTGTTTGGTTATAGACTTGTTCCTGGAAGCCCCAGGCAGATGCAGTGAAATCTGCTGCACCAGACCAAGCCAAGGTACAGCCAAGGGACAACCTTTTGTCTTGGTCTTACTTGGTGACTGGTTGTTTGGGCTCCTCTGAGGGTCGGACAGTGGCTCCATGTCCCATGACACTGTCAGGCTCTCCAAATACCCATTTTCTTTACTGAATGTTGCTGCTCCATAAATCTGTGTGACTGGCTTGTTATTTCTGTCATCATTAATTAGCATCCAGAGTTTGGAAATCATTGCTGAGGGATTAAAAACTTCCCAGGCAAGTCTCAAAGAGGAAATGGTTGGAGTAGGAGCTGCCCAGGAGAAGTCCATTCCCAGGGGGATGGGGTGGTGTCTCTTGGAGGGTTTCACCAGTGTCAATTTGTAAGAGGATCTTCTGTTCTGTCCCCCAGGAGCTCAATACATAACGTGTCTGACAAGCAACCACACAGAAGGGGATGAATTTGTCGTCTTCTTCACCTCTGTTCACCCTGGGAACCTCACTGAGGAGATCTGCAGTGCCCTCTGTTATGCTGAAGACCAGGAATATGGAGGTTTCAGCGCCCAGGGGCAGTGTTTGTGTGGTACTGCCCATGAAACAAACTCTTCTGCTGGCTGTTTGCCATTTTGCACTGAGCATTGGTCCGGGCAGGCCTGTGGTGGCCCATCACTCGTCCCCTCTCCCTTCCAGGCACAGCTGCCTGTGGCTTTTGCAGGACTTCAGCCCCGGTACAGCCTATACCAGGCCGTGCTCTTCAATGTCAGTATTCCCATTGCTGTCAGCACTTTACTGTGGGAATTTGGGGACCAGACAGAGGTTCTCAACACCACTGGCAATGCAGTTGTCCACATGTATGCCTTACCTGGGCAGTACAATGTCACTGCCACCATCTTCGTGGGCACCAAGGTCTTATATGTGCAGGCAGAAATTGAGGTGGTGGCTTCCCCTCAACAGTTAGAACTGCAGTGTCCTTCCTTGGTCAAGACAAAGGAGAGTCTGGACATACGGATCCGCAACAGAGGTGGCACTGGCCTTGCGGTGGTGTATGGTATCACCGCAGAGGCTGGAGAGCTGAGCAGAGGTGAGCAGGGCTGGCTGGGTGGCTGCTGGGCAAGGGAGGGATGGCACCAGGTCTTGGGACTTCTCTTTCCATTCCTTCCTAATGAGGAGTAAGGGGTGACTCCTTTGGGTGCTCCTTGCCCCAGGCAGTGCTTTGCAATATCCTGGGCCAAGAAGACAATTGCACAGAGTGCACTTCAACAGTGAAGGGGATTAATCAGCTTCAAGAAGGACAGGGCATTCCTGGAGCCTTGCTCCCTGAATTAGGTTGGGGTGTGTGGGTCCTACAAAGGATACTTGTCTTCTTCTACCTCATGCAGCAGTTCACCCCCTGTGCCCCCGTGATGGTTTGGTTTTCCTGGGCAATAACCACTGCTATCAGCTGGTGGTGGAGAAGGCCGAGTGGCTGGAGGCCCAGCAGCACTGCCAGGAGCATGGCAATGGAGAGCTGGCTTTTGTGAGCAGCCCTGAGATCCAGAGCTTCTTGGTCGCTCATGTCATCAGGTAAGTGAGGAGGGTAAGGGTTAAGATTTCCAAGGGGCAGGTCTTATGTTCCTGGGGTCACATCTGGGGGCTGGAGGGAGGGTCCTGCAGACAGCAGGAGAGACACGAGTCCAGGCTAGGTATGAAGAGATGGTAGGGATGAGGCTGCTGAACAAAGGGGAGGAATAAACAGAGCTTGAGCCTTTGCTTAAAGGCTGTGGCAGGAAGAAGGGGAATGGGTCAGAAAGGCTGTAAGTCCTACCTGGGAATTGTGGAATTGTGGCTGGTGGGCATCTTGTACCCTACGTTTGTGCATCTGAAATGGTGCGGAGAGGTGCAGGGTCAGGAGCAAACGGGGCTGGGCCGAGCAGACCTTCCACCTGGGAGTTCAGCAAAATCTGTAGGCTGGGGTTGGGCGGTGGAGAGGGTCAGGTGCTCGTGCCCAGAGGGTGTTTGGCTGCCAGGCAGGGCCTGAGGGCAACCTTACAACCCACTCCCTCCATCAGCAGAATTACAGCTGGATTGTCCCACGCGTGACAGTGGGGCCATGACAGCGGGGTGTTGAGCAGCCGCTCTGGCAGAGCCCAGGCCGGTGCTGCCTCCCCACCAGGATCCCACATCCCTCTGCAGCCTGCAGCCCAGACTCCTTTCCCCTCTTCTGCATCCGGAGAAGGAGCAGTGCTCCTCTCTGAGGGTCAGGCTCCAGCAGCATCTGTTCCACCTCAGGACTTGGCCTTTATAAACAGAGAGCACTGGAAGTGTCAGCCTTTGATTAAATCCGCCCCTCTAAGTGCCCTTTTTGCAACCAGCTGTCTTGGAGGGGGAGAATGATCAGGAGAGCTCACAGGGGCCTGACAGCTCTTGTCAGCGCTCCCAGATGCAGATGTTGGAGGTGGCCTCTTCATAAGCACGGCCCAGAAAGCACATGCGGAGGGACCGGCTGCATGTGATGTATGCTTTGAACGGTCCTGCTGAAGGTCTGACAGCCCCTTCTCCCCAAACTTGTATCCTTGCCCTGTTCCCTTCACACCAGGATTCCTCCCGAGATTGCAGACATGTAGTCCCTGCTCCAGGGAAGAGGAGTCTGTCCTTTTGGCGGGTTAGGGACTGGTCACTTGGTGCTCTGAGTTACCAGGCGTTGCGTGCAGGGCTTTTGATGGACTGCAGCACAAGGAAATCATGAGACCTCGGAAGGGAATGAGCTGCCCAAGCTGTTCCCCAGCTGCTGCCCCACGTTGCTGTCCTCCCCAGCCCCCTTTATTTCATGTATTTATTTTATTAATCCATTCAGATAAACATGAATGAGGCAGTTCCAGGATGCGATTTCCCTGGTGATAAAAGTCAAATCAACTGAGCCACAGGTTTTGGAACATGCAGCCTCCATCATTTCTTGTGGGAAAATGACAGAAGCAGAAATCTGTTTCCCATTAGAGCATGCAGCAGCAAGGACTGCTCTCTCCTTTGCTTTGCTCCTGTCATCTGATGGCCTCCCCAGGAGCAGTATGTGCTGAGCTGGTCCCCTCCCTGCCCACTCCCCTTCCAGGGCACCCCGCTTTCCCCTCCGAGACAGTGCAACCCCTCTCCCCTTCCAAGCCATCTCAGGCTTCTTTCTGCTCCTGCTGCCCTGAGCAGGGCAGCTTGGTTCTTCCTCAAAAGTGTATCTTGCTTCAGAAAAGGATGTCGAGAGTCCTCTTGTGCTCTCTGCAAGGTAGTGGGCTAGGCAGTGGGCAGGGGTGGGAAAAAGCCAGCCAGCCTATTTCTTCTTTTTTTTTTTTTTGATGACTTGCAGTTAGATCATAGCTGGAATTAGAAAAGGAAAATCTCTATTGAGTTTTACTGATGGCAGCAAACAGGCGGTTTCGTAGCCTGTTCTCCCTTATCCCCTGCCAGTGGTTCGGGAGCAGAGCACAGTGGTTATTTATTTTTTAATCTTATTTGCAATGAAAACTACTGATTCACGGAACAGTTATTTTCGTCGTCGTTTTTCAGCATGACCTCATTAATCATTTCATCTGGCTGAGCCCAGTGGTGGAGAGACACCGATTCTCTCCCTGGTCTGCTTTTTGCAGAGCAGTTGTACCATCCTGGCCATAGCAGAATTGATTGCAGCCTGCAGGAGGGAGCATGGAGAAGAAGCTGGGGGCTTTGAAGGGTGTATGATGAGGCTGTTCCCCCCCACCCCAGAAGTTAATATGGAACAAATGCCTCACTTACTGCTGGGTGCGATTGGAAACAGTTGTCCAGGCTGTTTGTGGCTATGAAAGACCACTCAGCACTTTCCACCAGAATCTCTGCTGGGGTGTGGCCAGTTTCCAAATGTGGAAGGGACATGCGTCTTCCTAAAATGATCCTGGCAGTTTCTTGTGTACGTGGGGTTCATTTCCCTGCAGTGCTTTGGCCTCTGCTGCCGGTGTCTCGGCCCCCCACGGCTGCTGCCTTTCAGCGGGGGCTGAGGAGCTGAATCTCCCAGCAGCCACACCAAAGATCCCTGATTTGAGCAGCAGCTTCCGTACCTGGCACGGTCTGGGGTTTAATCCTGCACTGGTTCCAGTTCCATTTCCAGTGCCTAGTGGCAAATTCCACGGGTCTTCAGAAATAAAACAAAAGTTTTCTAAAAGATGCAGCATTTTCAGACAGTTTTGTGTGACTGTACTATTAAGTCATGGCTTAATAGATGCTTAAAAATGTCTGTGAGAGTCATAGCTGTTCTCTTGAGAGGGGTCTGAGGCTCAAGACAACCTGCTGGTACTCCTTAATTTGCAGCTAATCCCACTCCCAGTGTTTTACTCTGCTGTAGGGGAGCTGGTCTCAGCCCTTGCAGCCCCCACGAGCCTTCTGTGTGTGCTGGGAGGGGAGGATGGGCGATATTAATAAATATATTGGTAGGAAGGAAGCGACTCCAACTTGGGGAGGCAGAAGATGTGCAGTTGGAGGGAGTGCTGTCAATGTCTGAAAGCAATAAAACCTCGTGGTTCTCCTCTCCAGCCAGTGTCATCTCCCGCTCTGGTAATTGTGCTGAACCAGTTGTGGCTGGTATGAATCAGCACTTACCAGTATGTCACGAGCTCTGTGGGGCTGACAGAGCCTTTTAACTGGGTCCTCTTGTAGCTTCAATGAGAGAGACTGGCATTTTGGGCATGGGGTGACTCGAGTCGTGGTCCCCTGAGCTGCTGCTCTCTCCCAGCTCCGTTGCACTGTGGTGTTGGTGTTGATTGCTCACTCTGGATCCTTTTGGCTCAGCTCTGCTCTCAGTTTCTCAAAGGACACATGGCTTTCTGGAGCTTAGGACAGAGGTTGGAAGGGCTGGTAAACAGCAGGATGGTGTGCTGTGAAGGAGCTGGTAGTAAAGAGCCAGGTTCTGGTGGTAGAACGGACACTAAAATCCTTTAATAACTAAAAGGTTCTGTTAAATGCACCCTGTGACACCCTATGAAACTGTTGTTGTGAAGATTATTATTTTCATAGAGAACCATAGGTGGCATCTACCCCTTTTTTTTTTTTTTTTAAGGAGCCTTGATGTCTGGATTGGATTCAATGATTTTGCAAGCACTGGAGCACAGCAAAGAGGTGAAGGATTTAATCTGGAGAGCTGTCAGAACTGGCTGCCAGGAGAACCCCATCCGTCAAACGCTGACCACTGTGTCCGCATGGGCCCAACGGGCCAGTGTAACACAGACCTGTGCATGGCCAAGCACAGCTACGTCTGCGAGTACAAGCCAAAAGGTGGGCTCTGCTTCCCTCCAGCTGCCACCAGCCCCAAGGGCACGCGGGTATCCTGCTCGCTGGCATGTGCCAAGGAAGAATAGGGCTGCATGGAGGGGGTGAGCCAGAGCATCCCCCCAGATCCAGTGGGACTGGTGACAACCACGGTATTCCCAAGAGAGGCTTGACTGATAAACTTTCAGAAATCTGGCCTCAGCCCAAAGGGAAAAATTTGGCCTGCTCCAATCTTTGCTATCAATAGAAAGAGAGAGAGAAGCGAAGCTCCAAGGCAGAGCTGTGGAAATAGCTTTTCTCTCTTCCTTAAGCAGTCTCTGCTGTGGCCAGGATCTAAGGCTGTGGTGCTGCCTTGGTGACTCTTGGTGGCCTTCTGTGGCACCTTGTAGCTGTTGACATGTTGGGGTCTTGTGACTTAAAAGACTATTGGGCTTTGGAGATCAATTAGGTGAACTTCTATGTGGTGTGTGATATGCAGGTTTGTGCTTATGCAGCTTCCCAAATCTCCCAAAGCAGCATAGGGAGTAAGAAAGAGAAGCAGAAAGGAGATGAAATATGGGAGAAGGTTTAGGTAAGAAGGAAAACCCATTGCTAGGCGGAAAGCCCAGTGGTCCTGGTTGTGCTCAGTCCCCAGAGGCTGACCTGGCGGTGAGTGAGTCAGAGGTGTTGCCACTGGTGGAAACTGGCTGGTCCTGGCCACTTTTCCCAAGTCCAGGGTGACAGGGAGGGTGGGGAGTGCACCTCGTGCTCAGAAATGTGAAACAAATCATGGGGTGTTGGAAGGGAGAAGTATTTGCAGAGTTCCTAGAAGTCAAAGTTGCTGAGAATTGCAGATGCAAACATTAGTTGTGCAGGGTGAGAAAGAAGTCAAAACATCTGTAAGAAGACAAAGGAAACTACAGGATTACAGCAGCTGCTTCTCCAGTAAAGCTGGAGTTACAGATTTCCTGAGTGGTCCAAGCCCTGGTACAGCTTTGCTGTGTGGTGTGAGCAAGCAGGAGCAGGGTGAGGGGAATAGCTTCAGGCCTTGCTCAGTCTCATGGGCTTTGTTCAAATATGTTCCTTTGTAAACAGGAGTTCTATTAAATGCCAAAAACTTCTTTGTGGGAGACCCTGAGTTTCACACACATGAGGCTGTGAAAAATGTGACAGAAGATGTGCTGTCAGCTCCGTGGCAAGCTGTGGAGGTAAGAAGGGCTTGGCATCCTGCTGCTGCAAGGGAGCCCAGGGAGACATGGGCAGATGAGAGCCTTGTTTGCTTTGCAGGTGATGGTGTTCCCTGAGCTGGCATTCAGGCACGAGGGATATTTGACTGCCCTGGAGTTTGTGACGCAGGAACTGCATCAAGCTGTTCAAGTGAGGTTCCAGGTGCACAGACCAATAGATGGAGAAGGTGAGGCATCTCCTCTCAACGCTTGTGGCATTGTTGGAGCTGATGCCATCAGGGCCACATCGGACTGAGGGTATGTGGCCTTCTTGTGGCCCCTCTGTCTTTAAAGCAGAAGCTTTGAAGCCTTAAAGGCTCAGAGACTTTGTTCTCATTTTTTGAGGAGACTAAAGTGCAGAATCTGCAGGTATGGTTGGACAGCCTAAGGTTGTCTTGGAGAAGTGGTTGTCCTGGAGAAAGTAATAGAGGGAGAAACGTGTCTCAATGCATGAAGAAAATGTGAGTGTAAGGAACGTGTCTAGAAGGGAATGAATCTGAGCTGTGCTTTTATACTTTGGGAAGACATGACATTAACATGGGAATGTGTTCTGGTCCATCTGGCCCCACAGGTTAAAAAGGAAGAACATTTTTCTGAGCCCATTTTTTCCTGATGGATGAGATAATCTAATAAGTCTTTTCTGCCTTGTACAACAGCTCAATAGTCAGTTTTGGCAACAACTAATTTTGCAGCAGAATGTTTGCTGTAGCCGTAGAGTTGGCTGGTTACAAAAGGATATTTTTTGACACTGAAAAGCTGATACTTTGACATGGAAACATTAACTTAAGAAAAGTTGCTTAATGTGTTTTCAGTGTCAAAGACAGCTCTGCCTTTGCTCGGACTCACTTTTGCTTGAACATAGATCTCTTTTAGACTGCAAATTGGTGCATTCTCACTGGAAAAGAGACTAACTTTGTTTTTAATGATCTTCATGCCTCTGTGAAATTTTCTAGTAAACAGGACACTTGTCTTATGTAGCACCAGGATGTGTTGCAGTTGCAGCTTTTACTAAGAGTGGAGCCATCATCAAAGTGAAAAAAAATGGTGAATTTGGAGCAAAGAGAAGCGCAGTGGAACGATTACTTGTCACAAAGGTGATTGTTGCTTTCTCTTTCACTTCTTCCAGGCTACCGGGAGGAAAAAAATGCTACAGAATCATTCCACACTGCTCAGGATGATATGAGCTGGACGCTACTTGAATGTCCTCCTGGTTTTGAGTGGTGTCATCTTACTAATTTGTGCTCGTCACTGAACAACTGCTGCAACGCGACTGAGTGTGCCAACAGTTCCCTTGCCAGCAGCCCTACCCCTGTTTCCCCTCAGCACAATGAAAGTCAGCTCAGCTATGAACTCATCGAGGAATTTCTCTTTACAATACCAGCTGGCCCTTCTTCCCAGTATCTGGTCAGTGTTTATTAGCTGTTGTAACCAGTGAGTAGTTAGGGTGTTTTCTCTGTTTTGGGTGCTTTGGGTTAATACAGACTTGTTCCAAATGTGCAGATGGAGACACTAAAGTTCATTCAAAGGAAATTACTTGCCCAGTGTCACACAGGCCACCACTTTCTGTCGTCCCTGTGCTGTGCCCCGGGCTCCCTGCAGTAACCTGCTGCAGTAGCACAGTGGGTCAGAAGGCCCTGCAGGTGTGCTGGGCTGTTCCCGTCACACGGAGCGGAGACAGAGCACGAAGCTGACTTCTGTGTTAGCACATGTGATTCAGAGTGGCTGAGGAGTGGTTAAATGTCTCCCCATGCTGTGTTTGGATCTGTGGCTTTTCTGTTGGTTTCCACTTGGCAGGAAATCCAGCTCTCTTGCCCAGGCAATAGTTGGGTGCTGAGTGCTCTTAACTTGAGGCATTAACCCAAAAATGTCTCCTCTCTCTGCAGGTCACATTCAGAAAAGAAAATATTTTTGTCAGGGCTGAGGATGTCTTCAGTATCCAGCACAATGCAGGCTTGGGCTTACTCCTCCAGTGCCAACCAAGTACCACATCTCCTTACAGAACCAACGTCTTAATCATGAACTCCTCAGAGTGGGCACTGGGCCTGTCTGATGGCTCCATTGGTGCCACCTGGATAAACAACACCGTTTGCTCTGTTCGAGTTCGCTACGCTGAGGAACAATTGGTCCCAGTGATCAGCCCCCACAATGCGGGGCTGGAGCATCCAGGCCGCTACACAGTCAGAGCCAGCGTGGACAACGGGTTCTTCAGCACCAATCTGTCTTGCAGTTTCTGGGTGACCTCCTGGGTGTCAGGCCTGCGGGTGATCCACCCCGCTCCTCAGGGCGGCAGGGTGTACCTACCATCCAACCACACCACCCTGGTTGTCAAAATCTCCTCGGGGGTGAACGCGACAGCTAGCTGGCTGGGGGACAACCACACCTTTCCCTTCGAGGGGTCCTGCCCAGCGGCTGTTGTGCCGCTGACGACCGACTGTGCCAGGGAGACCAACGACACCTGGTTTGCTGTGGTCAGCCTGAGTGGCCTCAGGGAGGGGGTGAGCACCCACATGCTTGTTGTGGACAACACCGTGAGCTCCCAGAACATCACCATCACGGTGAAAGTGGAGGAGCCCATCCGTGGGCTGAGGGCCACCCCTGACCCCGAGAGCAGAGTCCTGCTAAATACACGAGTGGTGAGTGATTACCGCTGCTTTTAATTTGTGGGTAGAGGGTTTAGCCTTGCTAAGGGTGTGTGTTTGGCTCACAAGGAGGGCTGGGGCCAGGTGTGGCACTGCTTGCTGCTAAGTGCTGGCTCCCAGGCCATGCAGCCAGCACTGCTGCAGACACAGGCATGCAGCAGAAAGCACTGGGGCTCTCCAGCAGGAAGGCACCTCAGCTGTGCCTTCACTTTAATTCCCTCAGAGGTAAGGCAGCATCTCCTGGCCTTCCAGTTGTACAGAAAATTTGAAGCATTTTGAAAGGCCAGTATTGTTTAGGTTTGCTCTACTAAATCCTTATATCAGCTGGCTGAAGCTATAAAAATGTTTCATCCATCCATCCATCCATCCATCCATCCATCCATCCATCCATCCATCCAAGTCTTGGAGTTACTCTGGTGTTTGGAGTCTTTTTTTTTTTTTTTCTCAAATACACTGCCCCCAGAGCTACAGCCAAGCCCCAGGAACCTGCTCAATAACTGCCCATCAGTATCTGTGAAATGCTCTGTTCAACTCTGGCTGCTTCTGGCAGAAACCTGTGCCTGCAATGCCTGTTGATCTCACCCTTCCTGGCTGCTACAGTCTGCTCAGGAGGTACTGTAGGAGTGAGAAGGGAGCCCACCCTGTCCAGAGCAGGTCAAGCCTTTGGGTCAGGCACCATCAGTAGATGAAGGTCAGAGACTCAGCTTACAGGTGTAGCTAAAGCTGAGTTTTTTCTGCAAAGATAACGGAAAGTTTTTAGCCATCAAGAAAGAGAGCTGATGACAAGAGCAGAGCCTGAGATTGTGGAAGCAGGTAGCATGGGTTCTGCTCCCTGCTCTGCTCTTGTTTTATGGAGTCTGGGTCTGCATTTCTCTGTCAGCAGCAAAGCTCCAGATGCTCTTGCAAGACCTTTGTGTCTTACAGGTGTGTGACACCTCTCAGTCTGGCTCTGCTCCCTCTCCAGTTCAACTGGAGATCTCCTGGGAAGTGCCGTGTGTGCTTTTCTCTTGCACTAGTATAAAATGTCCTCATGCCTTTCAGAGCTACGTCCCTGTGATGGAAGCTGGGTCAGATGTGACTTTCCGATGGACAGTAGATGATAAGCCATCTTTCACTTTTTACAATGTTGTCTTCAACGTTATCTACCAAAGCCCAGCTGTGTACAAGCTTTCGGTAAGCCAAGGCCTTTCCCATGATACCATTTTAATCCTGGGTTTCCATTTCATCCCACAAACGAAGCAGATAAAGCAGCAGGGAGAGGAGAGGGCAGAGCTGAGTTGAGGAGGTTTTCACTGTGCTTCTAACGAGCTCATCTGCTGTTCCTCACTGAGCTGCTCTTGCAAATGCAAGTAGTAAGTTCTTTCCTTTACAGCTGGCTTCTCTGTCTTCCTTGCCGTTGCTTTTGCCTCTTTTCTCCATGTTCTTCTTTCCGTTCATGGAGTGTGTCTGTCCTCACTGCTCCCCAGCAGGAAGGAGGCAGGGAGCCACACTGCAGGGTGCTGGCCGCTGCTTTGGCAGGCAGGAGATGTGGAGTCATAAGCAGGTAGAGGCAGCACGCAAACATTCAGAGTTTCACAGGGAGGACAGAGCTTCTGCCACAAGCTCATGAGGTCTCTGTCCCATTCTCTTCCTACTGGTGCAACCTGGAACAGTGGGTTTTGTTGTGACCCCAGAAGAAAGATAGAGCAGAGAGTCTGGGCAGAGGGAGGTATCTGTTGTGGAAGAGGAGTTCACCTCTGGCCAAAACATCTTACTGCATTGTGCCGTGTACTGCTGTGCAGAGTCCTGGTCTGGCTCCAAGCTGCTTGATCCATTTGCAGGGTAACTTCTGGCTTTCTGATGAGACACCAGCCCTAGCTCTGAGGGTGCACGAGCACTAATTTGCTTGGGGCAGCACTATGCTGAGGAACACTAATTTGCTGGGTGAAGCACTGTGCTGACAAGCCTGGATTGCTTCTACTTAGAGTTGACAAGGTGGCATTAGCCTGGGGCCCGCTGGGTTCAGTGTAACAGATCCACAGAAGCCTAGACACAAAAAGCTTTCATCTGTGGGGTGGGAAGTCTCTATTTAACTGGGTTTGAAGGATCCCTTCTGTCAGGAGCTCATCTCTCCTGCAGGTGAGGAGGTGGCAGGATGCTTCGTCATTAGGTGCCATGCCAGTGTTACATGCTTAGATAATCTCGAGGATCCTGCTCTACTTCTGTCACGTCTCTTCAGTCTCCTGCCTGTCCATTCTCTCTTTCCTTCATCTCCTCAACTTTGCTCTCCCTCTCTGTGCCCACTCCACCCAGTCTGCTGGAGCTGCTCTTGGTGTGCTTGGTTTCCGAGTCTCTCCCATCCCCACTCTGTGCTTGGGGCCACTCATCTGCCTCTGTCCTCAGGAAACTGGGTGGCTCTTGTCCCCTTGGTGGCAGCAGGAGCCTGGTGACAGTGTGCAGGGCACATCGGAACAGGCAAGGGGGTAACTGGCAACTTCAGAGCCAGAGGAGTCTCATCTGAGAAGCTCTTCTCCTTGTCCTCTTGCTGTAGAACCAACCCTCCCCTGGACTGATGTTAGCAGTGGAGGTGTGGTGGCTCCAGTGAGAGCTGGCTTCGCCAGGGGGGTGACCTTCCAGTCTGTGCTGCTTTCCAGTGCCGTTGTGGCTATTGCCTCCGCCTCCCTGTCCCACAGGCTGCTTTTCTCTGGCCTAAGCTGCTCCTGCCTGCTGAGACCTCGTAGCACAGTGAAGCCCCCCTCGAGGAGAGGGCAGCACAGCAAGGTGATCCCAAATGCATTCTTTGTCCCACTGTCCTTCCCAGCTCACCGCCTCCAACCACGTCAGTAACTTTACAATCAATTACAATGTCACGGTGGAGATGATGAATAAGATGAAGAACCTGACTGTGTTGGGTGTCCTGCCAGTCCTCCCTCTGAACAGCACCGTGGAGCTTACGGCAAGAGTTCAGGTCGATTCAGCTGTGGATGCTATGTTCCTGTGAGTCCTTTGCAAGTTGCCCAAACTTAGGATCTTACTGTGCCTAGCTTACCAGTCCTGCCTGCACTGTTTCTCTTCCCAGGGCCAGCTGATATCCAACAGCCCATTTCTCAGCCTCTGTCTAGTTAATTTAAAATCCCTGCAAGTGTGCTTCACACTGGCGGGACCTGAAGTTCAGGCTGACAGACTTTTCTTTTGAAGGATTGCAGCAGTGCTTTAATATTGGGTTCCTCCTCTTCTTCCCATTCTGTACTCCTCTCACAGCAATAATTCTACAACACTGGGTACAGCTACAGCTTTGATACTTGGCATTATGCTTCCTATGGTTTTCCTGGAAACCCCAGCCTGAAAGACAGCCCTAGGCCAGGCTAGGGTTCCTCTGGGATTTCCGTGATTCTCCTGTTGTGCAGTGTAATGCAGTTTGAATGTTTCTCCAGGTGGGATTTTGGAGATGGTGTCCAGGAGACATACCTGTTCAAACCTCCCTACAACAAGTCTTTCCTTGTTCCTGATCCCAGCGTCCATGAGGTTGTAATTGAGCATAATGTTTCACACGTCTATCAGGACCCAGGTATGCTCAGGACTGTTCTTTGGGGAAGAAGGGGTTCGGGCATTTTTGTTGTGTGGGGGTTACAAGGTACCTTCAAATAAAACAATTGCTTGAAAGTCGTTAACCTTGTTCCTGAGCAAAGAGCCAGAGCAACTGGACATCTCCAGCGTTTGCCATCCTCTGTAACTCTGTTTCTGTAAGTTTGTGCATGCTGTAAGAAGGACCAACACAGAGTCCCCTTTTTTGGCAGTCTCAGCAGATAGGTTAGCTCTGCGCTGATGGGAGGTGGGTAGGGAGCCCTGCTGTGGGCAGCAGGAAGGTGGTCTGTTTTGTAAGCAAACAGAAAGAAAATCTTTTCTCTATATCTGTCAGACTGGCTCCTCTGTTGGCATTTGGTCCCCACATACATGGCCTGGTTGTAATTCCTGCTTGTCGTGGAGTGGAGGAGGGAAGCCCAGGCTGTGCGTGGTGCAGGAGCAGAGCATCTCCCTGCAGACCCCATCACACTCCCCACACTCTGGAGCACCTAGCAAGCTGTTGCACAAGCATGTCCTCACAACTGTCTTTTTCTGCTCTTCCAATGCAGGCGAATATGCCCTGATGGTTCTTGTGTCAAACCAGTTTGAGAACCTCACCCACTTGACCCCAGTGCACGTCCACAGTTACCTAATTGATGTGAAGATGGAAGTAGAGGAGAACGTTTTAGTTGTGAGCCGTCCGGTCACCTTCAGAGCCAGTCCTCTGCCATCTCCTTACGGCGTCATGTACACCTGGGACTTCGGGGACGGGTCCTCCCTGCTGACAACAAGCCAGTCTCCAGTGACATACAGCTACCCCAGGAGAGGAGTGTACAACATCACCGTGACAGCAAACAATACCATAAGCAGTGTGGAGACAGTTGAGTGCTACCAAGTGTTTGAAGAGATCACTGGGCTCCATGTTTCTGCAGACAAGGCAGCGGAGCTGGGAGCATCTGTGAGCATTAATGCCTCGGTGCAGACAGGGGACAGTATCACCTGGATGTTTGATATGGGGGATGGGACGGTGCTGAGGAGGCAGGTGCCGGTCGTGGAACATGTGTACATGAAGGACATCAACTGCACTGTGAACGTGACAGCTGTGAATCCTGTGAACTCTGTCTCCCAGACTGTGCCTGTTCGGATATTTGTCCTGGAAGTACTCAAAATAGAGCCAACTTCTTGCATCCTTGAGCACCCAGACGTGCAGCTCACGGCGTATGTGACGGGGAATCCTGATGAATACATATTCGATTGGACTTTTGGAGATGGCTCGTCCAATGTCACAATCAGTGGGGACCCTGTGGTGATGCACAACTTCACCCGAAGCGGGACGTTCCCCCTCTCCCTGACTCTCTCGAGCAGGTTTAACAAGGCTCACTATTTCACCAGCGTCTGTGTGGAGCCAGAGATAGTCAATGTCACCCTTCTCCCCTCCAAGCAGTTTGTGAGACTTGGTGAAGAGAGCAGCTTCCAGGTCAGTGCCATGCCTCTCTACCAGTACCGCTACCGCTGGGATTTTGGGAACAATGAGTCCACTAGATCGAGTGGGACTGAAGTGACCTACACCTACAAGAACACAGGGGTCTTCCTGGTCACGGTGACTGTCTCCAACAATGTCTCTTTCAACAATGACACAGCATTTGTGGAAGTCCAGGAACCAGTTGGGGTAGCAAAGATTGAATATAACGGGACAAATGTTTTGGAGCTGAACCAGATCTACCTGTTCTCTGCCAGCATAAGTGGAACAAAAGTGAGTTACTGTTGGGACTTTGGAGATGGCACTACACAGCCTGGCCAAATTGCTGCCCATTCCTACAACAACACAGGCCATTACACTATTAGTGTGACAGGCTGGAATGATGTCAGCTTTAATGAGACCGTCATTGATGTCACAGTGAAACGTCGGCTCCATGGGCTGACCATCAATGCCAGCAGGACAGTGGTGCCATTGAATGGCTCAGTCAGTTTTGTAGCCACGCTTGTAGCTGGCAGTGCCATCCGTTACTCGTGGATCCTCTGTGACCGCTGCACTCCTATCCAAGGCTCCTCCACAATTTCCTACACTTTCCGGTCCGTGGGCACATTCAATGTCATTGTGACAGCAGAGAACAAGATCAGCTCGTTGCAGGACAGCATCTACGTCTATGTCCTGGAGCAGATTGAAGGCCTGCAGGTGGCTGGCAGTGACCTGGTGGAAGACATGTATTTCCCAACTAACAAAACACTCCATTTGCAAGCAGTGGTGAGAGAGGGAACAAACATCTCTTACAGCTGGGTAGCCCAACGGGATGGCAGTGCTGTGCAGACCTTCACTGGGAAAACCTTCTCCTTGAGCATCCTAGAAGCTGGAAACTACACTGTCTATCTGAAAGCCACTAATATGCTAGGCTGTGCAACTGCTAACAGGACACTGGAGTTCATTGAAAGCATCGGTCTTCTGAAGCCTTATGCCTTCCCCAACCCAGTTGCTATTAATGCCTCTGTTAACATAAGTACCACCATAACCAGTGGCACTGGCATCACGTATGTTTGGTATCTAGAAGATGGCTTCTCCTCTGTTACTTCTGAACCCTTTATTATATACTCCTTCCAAAGCCCTGGAGTGATTGAGGTTGTCATTGGAGCAGAAAACAAGCTGGATTCAACCAATGCAACAATTAATATCTGTGTAGAGGAGGTCATAGAGGGGCTGAGTATAGGGACTGCAGAACTGGACTGTCGATACGTCTCATCGGGCTCCACGGTGGTCTTTGAGGGGGAGCTGCAGAAGGGGACTGAAGTGACATGGCTCTGGGAGGTGCCAAATGGCACATTGACTGGCCAGTCCGTGGCAGTCACATTCCCCACAGCAGGGTTTTATACGGTCTACCTGAATGCGTCAAACGACATCAGCTGGGCTCTGGCCAGCAGGAATATCTCAGTACTGGACAGGATTCAAGGACTGGAAGTTCTTGCCAGCAAGAAGGTGGTGGAGCCAGGGGAACAGGTCACCTTTGTGATCAGGATGTTGTCGGGTACCTCTGTGAGTTACTTGGTGAGCATAAGTGGGGACTACTCTGTGGTGCTCAACGGGTCCAAGTACACGCATGAGTTCACCAAGAGCGGTGATTATTTGGTGACAGTGACGGTGCAGAACCAAATCAGCATCGCCCATGCCCAGGTGCTCATCTCTGTCCTGGAGGCCGTCCGCAACGTGCAGCTCCTGAACTGCTGTGAGGAAGGCATACCCACAGGCACGGAGAAGAGCTTCAGTGCCCAGGTGGGGAGTGGCTCCCGTGTCTCATTCTCTTGGCAGTTCTCCCTGCGGAAAGAGCAAGGTCGCTCTGTGGTCATTATGGCAGGAGAGAGTGTTTCCTACACTCCAGAAGCTGCAGGGCTGCTCGAGATTCACCTCAGTGCCTTCAATGACTTGGGAGGTATCAATATCACCAGAACCATCCAGGTCCAAGACCCGATAGTCCAGGTCTCCCTCACTGCCTCCAATGCTTTTGTCAACAGGACTGCAGTGTTTGAAGCAGCAGTGGTGCCCAGCAGCAGGAGCGTTGAGTTCTTGTGGACCTTTGGGGATGGCTCTTCCACTCAAATGACCAGGGTTGCAGTGGCCAACTATTCTTACCTGAGCCCTGGGGATTACCTGGTGGAAGTGAATGCCACCAATCTCATCAGCTTCTTCATAGCCCACCTCACTGTCACTGTCAAAGTCCTGGAGTGTGAGGAGCCAGAGGTGGAGTTAGCCTTGCCCCCTCAAGTAGTCATGAAGCGATCCCAGAGGAACTACCTGGAGGCACAGATCGACCTCCGAGGGTGCATCAAGTACCAGACAGAGCACTTGTGGGAGATCTACCAAGCACCCAGCTGCTTGAACTTGGACAGCTCCAGCAGGATCCATCTGCCAAACGTTGATGTCAACAGGCCCCAGCTAGTTATACCAAAGCTTGCCCTAGAAGTTGGGAACTATTGCTTCATCTTTATTGTCTCCTTTGGAGATACCCCACTGTCCAAAAGCATCTTTGCCAACGTAACTGTGATACCAAGTAAGCTGGTCCCAATCATTGATGGAGGGTCATACCGTGTATGGTCCAACACTCAGGACTTAATCTTGGACGGGGAGAAATCCTATGACCCGAACTTGGATAACGGTGAACAGACTCCGTTGTTATATGATTGGTCTTGTACGTTCTCCTCCAAGGTAAGAGTAGTTCTGTCCAGCCAGGGAGGGTGATCATTTGGGAGCTCCAACTCCATGTCAGTTCCACTACAAACACATGTCTGGGTTGAAATGGTGTTGAGGGAAGCTTTTGTGAGCGTCTTTAATAAAGCTGCTCTGGAAGGAGGGTTGCAAAGGTTTCACTGACTCCCATCTCAGGCTTATGGTACAAAAATTGCCATGAAGAGTTGTGCAGTGCAGCCCAGTGCTGCACCATGTCCCTGTGCATGGCAGAAATGTCGGCACGAGAAGCTGAGGCATTTGTGTTGCTGCTTCACTTGTCCTCGGCCTTTGTTTCATGGTTTGGGTGTAGCTGCTTCCATAACCTGATGGCTGATTGCAGCCCAGGGGACCGAGGGCTCTGGTCCCTCTCCCATTACTAGTTCGATGTCTCTAATTTCAGCAGGGGCCCTAGTTAGACTTCGGAGGAGTTAAGTGACCACAGGTCATGGTCACTCTGGACGTGAGCAGGTCACTGTCATCATGCTGAAATGGTCTGACCCTGTAGTGATCAAAGGGCAAGGGAGAGCTGCCCTTTGAATTCTTATGGGAGATCCACCTCAGGAACATTTTTTGATTGAATGTTGGATTTTTTTTGCTTGTAAAAAGTCACTAGTTTCTATCTTTACCTCAAAACAGAAAGATGCAGAGTGTATGTGCAGTTTAATGAGCTTTTTGTGGTGTTTGGCAGTGTTTGTAGCTATATAATGAAGAATTAATTGCTATAAAATAAGAATTTGAAGCTCAGATGAAATAGGAGTATTCCAAGTACTGCTTACTAACCTGAAGAATAGGAGAAAGTGTTTTATTATCCACACACCACCCCATTTCTCCCACCCCAGAGGTGGCATTGCACAGTAAGACCTGTAGCAGTGACTCTGTGTGGACCGGAATGTTTTGGCTGTGGACTAACCCGATGTGCACCCATACCAAAGAGGGTTTGAAAGTTCTTTTCTCCTTGCAAGCAGAGCTCGGCTGCAGGGTGCTCTCTGAATTTCAGTGCCAAGGAAGGAATTGTCACAATTTCCAAAGCTGTATTAGAAGCAGATGTGGAGTATACGTTCGACCTCACCGTCAGGAAGGCGGGTATGAGTCCCGAGGCAACAAATCAAACCGTACGTACCACAGACAACTGTTGCTTTCTGTCCTTGGGTGCCTGTTGCTGAACACAGCCCATGGCCCTTTTTTCAAGGAGGTTTCTAGAGGAGAGTGCTGCTGGCTCGGCACCATGCTCAGCCTTGGGTGACTCCCCGAGCTGCATCCCTGGGCCCCATCCGAGAGGCAGTGCCTGTTCAGCAGCGGGTGTGGAAGCTGCTGCTGCCTGCATGTGCCAGCCAGCACAGAAGAGCAGGGAGAGCAGATTTTAGGGCATGGCTGGGCCTCCATAACTGATCTCATCCAGGTTGTTGGCAGAAACAATCACTAGTATTTCCATAATCTATTCATCTTATGCTGCCTTGGGCAACACTTTTTGCTCGTCCTGCCAAGTCCTTTTAGTTTCTTCTTTTCTTTAGACCTTGTGTTAGTCCCTCTCTGTGCAGAGGCTGCATTAGCGACCCAGCCCTGAATGGTACTGGCCACAGTTCCTGGGACTGAGAGTCTGCGACCGCAGATCTGCTGCAGGAGGACAGTGAAGGAGCCCGTGGTCAGCAGCTCTTCCAGCACCGTGTGCAGTCTCAGGCTCTTCACGTGTCACAGCACCAGGCTCTTCCCTGATTTTTGCCTCAGAGCTGGTACTTAATTGTACTGTCAACAGTTCCTCTCTTCTCTCCTGAATTTTTTTAAGGGAGAGGATTTTTTTAAGTGCATGTTGTTTATGTCAAATTAAGCCTAACGCTGAATGCATCTGCAGTCCGACAGCAGTTATGGTTTATGTCAGAAACATTCATCGTGGTGCATTTGGCAATTAGAGATATAGTTAGTATGAAAGTGGAAACTCTTACTGCTTGGGTTTTAAACCAAAGCTGGAGGATAAAAAGCAAAAAATTAAATTGATAGTCTTTCAAGGACATTCCGTACTATCTGGTTTCCATGCATGAGCGCAAAACAATGATTCCAGTGTCGCAGGAAATTTGCAAATACTGTAGGAATGAATGAAGCTTCAATGCACTCCGGCTTAGTGCTGTGGAATATTTATCCTCTTTTAAAAGTCTGCCATATTAAACAATGTCTTCATTACTGTCTTTCTTTGAATTCAGAACAGTCATTATACCAGGGCAGAGGGCTCTGTCAAATGCTGGTCAACCCCATTTCCTAGGGGATTAAAGGAATTTAGACAAAGTAGAGGGGTCAAAGCTCGATAGCCGTTGTGTCTGAGCCACCAGTGCTTCTAAAGCTCTCCTCTCTCCACGTGCTTTGCTGGGGAGGTGTGGCAGACGTTTTGAGATGTGCAGTTTAGATCCGAGCTAAAAGCCTGGCACAGCCTGCCACTCTCTGGAAAAGGTGGTTCTTCCAGGCTGCAGAGCAAAATGTGTTTGACGCACAGTGCGAGCTGTGTTTTCTGGCTATTTTTACCATCATTCCTGTCTCTCAGGGATGTAGGTAGTGTCAGAAATGGTGATGGCTCTGCACAGGCAGTGCACTTGAGAGCCCAGGGGTCAGGTCCTGAAATGCAGCGTGTGGTTCTAGGCCAAGTTCTGTAGATCAGAGCAGGGACCATGCTGGTTTTGCCCAGGGCAGCACATCCAGCACATCAAGCAAACCCAGCTTGCCCTGACCCCTCTCTTACTCTGGACTGTAAACACTTCCCATTTAGCAGCCTCCCGAGCTGAGGACAGGGACCTGCAGCCCCTCACTCCCATGTCCACACAGATCTGCTGTGACCCGACCGGGTCAGGCGTACCACATCTGCAGAGACAGGGCCAAGAGTTTGGCCCACAGAAAACAAAGAAGAGCTGCAGTTGCTTCCCAGGGCAGGTGCTCGCCAGATGTTGGGTCTGTGCTGTTATGGAGGATTACCTCCTCCCAGTTAGACTGCTCCTCTCTTCCAAACTCTAACACAGCTCCCATTTTTGTGGGGTTAACAGCTGTCCTGAGATGGTCGGTACAGCAAAGTGCTTCAGTTAGCATCATCCCCACCTGACAGCCCAAGCAGGACTTGCTGGGAATTCAGCACAGGGTACCACAGGGACATTTTGAAAGTGATTCATGTTGGTAAAAAGTGTAAATAAAGTCTAGTTTTACCTGGACTGGGTCTGCTTGACATTGGATGGTTCTTGAAAATCAGTTGCAGAAGAACTGGCCAGTGCAAGAAAAGTGATGTAGCTTAAATTTGACATGAAATCCTTTGGAAATCCCTTCCTGCTGTTTCCTTAGCCCAGACTGGGCTGGTGCAGAGCAATTCCTCCTTGCAGAGCCAGGTGCTGGGATGTGTCTACTTACCTGTTAAATGTCTGTATTTTTGTCTCAGATCTTCTGATGGAGCCTCTTGCTTCCCCAGGTATTCATCAAGAGAGGGGGAGTCCCTATCGTGTCCCTGGAGTGCATTTCCTGCAAGGCTCAGTCTGTCTATGAAGTTAGCAAGAGCTCCTACGTCTACCTGGAGGGGACCTGCCAAAACTGTCACAATGACTCCAAGCTTGGGGTAAAGTCATTAGCAATGCTGGTCTTTGCTTCACCTTTGGTGGACTTTGGGAAGAAGGAGAGAGTCAGAGAGGACAGGGTGGAAAGACCTCTGTGAGAAATATAGTCCTGGACCTAGACTGCCATAGAGACAAGAAGGGTAAACAATCTCTGACCATCAATGCAGTGGCAGCCCGGGTCTGGCTGAGGGGATGAAGAAGGCTGGCTAATACTGGTCTCTTCATCACAGCCCCCGGACTGGCTGCAGGACTGGCTTGCAGAGTCAGAAGTTTAAAACAGGCCCTGCATGGAGCTCTCCTGGAGTGGCATGGGGCTGCTGCGTGCTGTGCCAGGTCTGAGCGGCGTGGAGGAGGCTTGAGGAGGGTCCTGAGAGGCTTCTGAGGCGGGTCCCCTTGGCCTATACGCACTGGACCCCCTGTGAGATGTCCAGAGGCTTCCTGTGCCCGGCTCGTGCCCACAGGCTGTGGGACACAGGGCCTGTCAGTCCTCCATTGACCTACCCAAGGGCAAGTCCTTTATGGAACATTTTCAAGCCAAGCCCATGAGTCACCAGCTTGTTTCACACAAAAGCCACTTTTTTTTTTTTTCCCTAGAAAATATCTGTACAGTATTTTCTTCTCCCTGCTGATTGGCATTTTGCCCCTTATGCTGGTGACTCAAGCAGAGGTAGTTTGATCTCTTCTGATCTCTCAAATCTCTCATGCCCTTCTCTGATTACAGATTCCACTATGCAGCATCTCTGCAACCTGTTGAATGAAGCAGGTCTCAGAAGGGGAAGTCCTGTTGCAAGAGCTAGTCTGTATTGCTCCCAGCAAGCCCAGCCTGTACTTGCATGGCATTTTCTGGCTGGCTATCTCACTGTTACTCTTGTTATCACAATTGTACTTTTGTGCTATTAGCAGTAACCATCCAGGACACGTTCAGCTTGAAGCATATAAAACATGGTATCCCATGGAGACTCCACCAGGACTTAATTTATTTCCTGTGTTTTGTGTTCTGTATTATGAAATATTCTGTCGGAGGGTGATGTAATCCCAGAGACTAAAGTAGATCTCACAGTGGAAATATTCCCACCAGACATTTTGGAAAGGTTCCAGTTCTTGTTGCTGTAGCACACAAGACTGAAGCTGAATTATCAACTGCAAATTTGGCAGACGCTCCCACTAGAAATCTGTTACTTTTTATAAGAGACTCAATCTGAAAACATTTTAAGGCTATAACTTCAGATTTAAACAAAACCTCTCCTGTCTTTCCCCTCTTTTTCTCTACAGAGATGGGCAGCACACAGCTTTAAAAACAAGTCTCTCATCCTGGACAAAAAAACTACCTCCACTGGTGACACGGGGATGAACCTGGTCTTGAGGCAAGGGGCACTGAAGGATGGGGAGGGATATACTTTCACCCTTCACATCACAGACCTCACAACAGGGGAGGAGGGATTTGCCTCCATTGATCTGCTCCCAAACCAGCCGCCTGTTGGAGGATCCTGCCAGCTGTCTCCCAAAGGACCCCTCAGGGCGCTGATGGCGAAAGTGCACTTTGAGTGTGCAGGTGAGGGTGTGGGAACAGCAATGCCGGGGCCCTGCCAGCCTCTCTGCTCCTCACAGGCAAAGGTTTCTCGTCACCACTGTGGTATTAGTGGCCCTTCTCCCCGCAGATGTTTTCTTTGCCCCCAGCTCCTGCCCCTGGGCTTTAACCAAGTAACCAAGTAACAAGCGACAAGGACAAGAGGGAATGGCCTCAAGCTGCACTAGGGCAGGGTCAGGCTGGCTCTGAGGAAGGATTTCTGTGCAGAAGGGGCTGTTGGGCGTTGGAATGGGCCGCCCAGGGCAGGGGGGGAGTCCCCATCCCTGGAGGGGTTGAAGAGTCAGGTTGACCCAGTGCTGAGGGATTTGGTGGAGTTGAGAATGGTCAGTGTGAGGTTCATGGTTGGACTGGAGGAGCTTCAAGGGCTTTTCCAACCACGATGATTTTGTAATTCTATGAGTTCAGAAGTTGATCTTTCCATTTCTGATCCCCAAAGCTTGGATCCTGAGCAGCTTTGTGGGCCCAAATGATGGAGCTCTAAAAGTAGTGATAGGAGGCAGGCACTTTTTTTTTAATCCTACTTTGTGTAGTTGAGTGATGGTATCCAGGCCGGGCCAGCACTTGTGGAAGAAACTGGTATTTCAGTGCAGGAAAAAGAAGATAAGTGCCCAAAACTGAGTCACACATATGTGGGAAGAGTCAAAAGAGAAGGCACTGGGGCCTTCTCTGCCATGTGGGCTGGATGTTCCCGTCGGCAGTTACCTTCTTGACCAGCTGCAGAGACAGCAACAATGAGTCCAGCTTTGGAAAAGTGGCCTGGCTGATGTCCTGTAGCCTTGGGCCAAGGAATAAGTGCCTCTGAAAACCATACTTCCCCAAATGATTAGTGTTAGAGATTAGTGCTGTCTGTGCATAAATGCTGGGAAGCCACGCTGCAGAGGAGATGATGAATTCTGGGGGGGCTGCTCACCAAAGCCCAGCTTAAGCTGGGGGAGAAGGAGAAGTGTGTTCAGCATGATGTGGTTTTAACTTTGGCATTTTTTTGAGCTACCCAGAATAATTATGAAATCAATACATCTTTGGGGTGGTGGGAATTTGAGCTCTTAGTGATTGTTTTTAAGCTGAAGCGAGACATGCAGGATGCAAACCCACTGGTTGATGGCCAGTGCCATGAGCCCTGGCAGAGCCAGCACCTTCATGGGTACTCACAGGAAAACAACACATTTCCCAAGTGCCCAGCTCCCACAGGGCTCCCCAGAATTCCTGGAAGCTCCACGGAAACCTCTGTGCAGGTTTTATACGAGACTCAAGTTGTTCCTGACATGTTGAGCTGCCTGAGGGCTGCACTGAGCCTCTCTCTAATGTCAGGCTTTGCAGGGCTTCTACAGAAGCTGTGGCCTGGGTCAGTGCCATTCCCAGCCCCAGAAGAGTTATTCCCATTTTAGTTTTGCTCATGAACTCTTCACAAATCCCTTTAAACGTTACAGGAGGCAAACACCTAGGCAGAAACCCCTAATCATCAGAAAAATTCAAAGAGAGTCTGAGCTTTACGTCACAGGCCCTGAAGACATCCCCCCAGCCTGGTGGAGTCCTTGAGCTGTTCTCACTGTGGGGACAACCTGTCCCTCTGCCAGAGCAGGAGGGGACACCAGGAAGGGGAGATTCCCTGCTGAAGGGCTGAGGGGGGTGGGACACTCCAGGGGAGGGAAGGGGCACTGCCAGGAGGTGCCACTTCTGACAGACCGGCTGCATTTGGGGATGGTGGCTGCAGCCCTCCCCGTGCCCTTGCCCCCATCAGAGCCCCTCTGTGGGTTTGTTTTGCAGGCTGGCGAGACACGGAGGACGCGGAGGGCCCACTGGTGTACATCCTCCTGGCATCCCGCCGCAGGGCTGGGCACTACCACGAGTTCTGCGTGTACAAGGGCAGCCGTGCCGAGCACAGCGCCTTCCTGCCCCCGGGCTTTCATGAGAGTGGCTTCATGGTGTCCGTGTCTGTTCTTGTGCAGGACCAGCTGGGAGCCACCGTGGTGGCCGTTAACCGGTAAGACCCACCGCTCACAGGCTGGGCTTAACCTGGCAGGACCAGTGTCCAGCCTAGGCTCCTGAGTAAAAAGTAGATCAGTGATGATTCCTCTTTACTAGTGAAACAAATTATTGGACACACAGAGCAATCAGTAATCAGAAGATCCAAAACAAATAAAAGAAAGGGTTTTTTTCACTTACTAAATTGTTACACTGTGGAACACATTACTGCAGGATTTTCTGGATACAAAATGTATAAAGCAGCTTAAAAAAAGGCAATTAATCAAATCCATCAAACACCAAGAAACAGATAAATCCTCTGGCTCAAGAAGATTAGCAGAGCTAGGAGGGTACAGCTCAGGAAAAGGCACTGCTCTTCTCACTCTCTTTGCACAGGTACCTACAACCAACTGCTGATGCCAAGCACAGCTCTGGGTAAAACAGACATTTTCTTTATTCTTCTTCAGTACGGGTTGATTTTCACACTCCTTACAGTACTGTTACTTTTCTAGTAGAAAATGCCATTTGGCATTACTGGAGTCCTTTTAGCTGTCAGGGCAGGGAAGGAGTCTCTGGCCGCAAGTCCAAACCAGCCTTGCTATACATGCATTGATCTTTCATAAGTTTTTAGCGTGGCATGAATGCACTTAGTGACACAAAGAGTTTTTGATGAGCACCTGCTGCTCCATGCTAATATACCATAAGAAATGGAGCTATGGAATTAAGCTATTTACAGAAATGGAATAAGATAGACTGTAGCTGGATACATAATGCAGGAGAAGAGCAGGAGCGTGTCATTTTAGCTATCTAGAGAACTAGACCATGCGTGTCTGTGATTTCTTTCTGAGGGATCCAGTGGGTGCCAGTCCTGAAGGGCCTGGCGGATCCTGGGTGGAACATTTGCGTCCTGGAAGAGGCTGTTGGCAGGAAGGCCAGGGCAGGCTCAGCAGAAGTACAGGACGGAGAATTCCAGTCTTTGTGGATCATCAAAGGGGAGACTTTCCCCTAAGTTACTGCTTTCCTGACCACCTCCTTCATTCCCTGGTGACACCTTGCTTTGAAGGCAGGATGTGACTTTCTCAGAAGATCTCTTTCCACTGTGCTCTGACACCTTCTCTGTGTCAGGAGCCCTCAGAGGAGAGTTGGCAGCAGCAAGCTGCGGTGCTGCGGGTGACCTGATGCCCTGCTGCTGCAGACCAGGGAGGTCTCGTCTAGATGAGGTGGAGAGTACAGGGAACGATGCCAAAAGCAGTGCAGCTCCTCCCACCACACCAACCCTGTTTTTAAGTGCTCTTTCTGCTCCATCAAACTAAACCTCGATTTTCTCCTCTGGGTTCAATGCACCTGTGTGCATCTGCAGCTTCCCAGAGCTGGACCAGTGAGGAACCAGACTTCAGGTCTGTGATGTTCCTACTTACAGCTTGTGCAAACTGGGCACCGGCGCAAGCGTCAGCAACGCTGTCTTTGTTGTTTAACAACCTGCTTCCAGCCTCATCTCCCTTCCCAGCTAAAGGGCAGATTCTGCCCCCTTCCCCCAGCCCATCTGATAGTCAGCACTTAACCCAAATGCCTCTTTCCCTTGGCAGCTCCATGGAAATCGGCTTACCCGAGGGGTTCCCCAGCCTCTCCCAATGGCTCTACAATCAAACTGACACTGTGCTCCAGGGCTTAGTGAAGCAAAGGGACCCTCAACAGGTCATCGAGTACTCTCTGGCCCTCATCACCATCTTAAATGAGGTAAAGTGGCACACTCTGGCCAAGAAGGGCCTGCAGAAGGCCTTTCAATCGCCAGTAATGTTCTTCGACCAGGTTTTGTACAGTGATGTAAGGAAATGGCTAACACTACAGTTTTTCATGTAAATCAATGTACGTGCATGCTGGGAGCTGGGCTGAAGCTATTTTCATGCGTCAAAAAGAGTAACAAGCTCCAGACATACAATGACCAGGGAAAGCAGAGGGGCTGCAAAGTAAGCCAGCAATGGTCTGGGTGTCTCCCATGCAGCTTGCTTTTTTTCCCTCATATTCAGAGGTTTTTTTCCTCTTTACTGCCAACCTCAAATTTAAACAATGAATTTAGAAACAGAAATCTTAGCGCAGATTCCCCCACCTCCTTCATGCATCCCCTGAGCCAGCCACCCTGCCCCAACTCCGCAGGGCTGGAAACTGACTGTAGCTGCTCAGGGTGATGCTCTGGGTGCTGAGGGGACCTCCTCGTGCTGACTGTTGAGCTAGGGCAGCTAGGAAGATCCTCTGCCCTGCATACAGGGCTCTTAATCCACAGTGCAGGAGCATCATCCTCCTGGCAGCATTCGCTTTCACTCCTACCTAAAGTAGGGCCCAGTCCCTCCATGTGCATCTCTATAAGTAGGGCAGGATTTCCAATCTGTAATCTTTCCTGCCCAAGAAGAGCCCTCTGCGTGCCTGGAAGACAGACAGGAGCCATTCCCCTGAGCACAGGCACTGTGCTAAGCTGGATAAGGGCTGCACACTGGTGTACTACTTAGCTGTCAAGTGGAAGGCTGTTAAGATAATTGCTTGGAGAGCACAAGCGAAATTGAGGAAGTTCTGCTGAAAAATACAGCTCATTAGATCACCCTCTGGGGAGGAGCACAGGCAGGGAGATATACAGTGCAGGGAAGAGGTGACTCCAACACAGCTCATCATCCTCTGAAACAACCTAATACATTTCCTCACTCTACCTGCTTTTCTCCCCTCCCAGTATGAGCGGTCCATGCTTCTCGAGCCTGAGACTGGGAATGAATTTGAACTCCGGACCTGGACTCGTAACAATATCACAGAAACCCTGAACTCGCTGAATGTGAACACAGTTGATGATATCCAGCAGATCTCTGCTGCCTTGGCGCAGTGCACGGTATGTTCCCCATCACCACCCCCAGCCTCCTGCTCTTAGTTTAGCTGCTCCTCAATTTGTGTTCTGCTTCCTGGCATCTCTCTCCCACACACCCCCCGCGCAGCGAGGACAGGGATCACTTGTTGACACCATCAAGGTTTCTGTGGCAATGCCCTGAGTGTTGTCAGCTCTGCCCCTCGCCGTGGCATGGATAAGGTGCTGGCAGGCAGCACCTAAGAACTCTGTGCTGCTTCTCGGGGCCCAGCCCTGGTGTGGCAGCTTCCTAGCAAGTAGGTTCCTTCGCCTGATGGAAACTGCAGGACAGGCTTCATCCAGTTGGAGAAGCGCTGTGATAAATTGCTGGGGGAGATGCAGAATCTCTGAGGACAGGCTGGACTCCATCAGGAGTAACACAAGTAGAGCCGGACCTGCCTTGAGCCAGGGGACAGTGCCAAGGACTGGCGTTCCAGCCCTATTTCTCCCATACAAGATTAGAAACACTGCTCTGCTCTGCTGCTGACTGGAAGCGCTGTGTTCCCCAGCCAGCTCACAGTTTCAGCTCCCCGGTGCTGGGGCTGCTGCCTGGTGGATTTAGGAGTGGCTGTATGTGTTTTGTCAGATGGGCAAAGGGAAGAGAGCCCAGTTATATAATGTGCTCGGGGTTTGGTGGTCAGCCAGTCGGCTCTGGCATGCTCTTCCTCCTTGCCTTCCCAAATCTTTGCTTTTGGGACTGGAGTCAGGTACCCTGGCCTGGGCTGCGCATCGCCTCCCCAGCCAGGTCAGCAACCTCACGCAGTGGGAACAGGCTGTCGCTGAGATGATGGACAGACTACTGCATGCCACCCACAGAGTCCCTATTCCACTGCTCATTTCTCTGCTTCAGAGTCTGTAAACCTCAGAAATCTCTTCTTTCTGTTCATCTTTGTTCAGGCCTTGGGGTTCGGCACATCCCATTCCGATGCTGGATTGGTTTGTGTCTGTCTCTCCCATGTGCTCTTGCCTTGCAACTTGTTTTCACTGTGGAAGCTCAGGTCTAGAAATAGAATTTTTGTTCCACGGGAAAAACTGATGGTCCAAGATTAGTTTGTGCTCTGGGTGGGAATGAAAATCTTAGAAAAACAGTAATCTAGAATCTCGCAAGTGGTTGATGCTAGCACGGAGTTCACACATTTCCTTTCCTGTAGAAGTGTCAGTCAGTGCTGATTGGTTTTTTCCACTCCAGGAGAAATTAATTCTTCCTCTCCTCTGTAGGTAAAATCAAAAAACTATCTCAGTCATCTTAGTCGATTCTCCTTCCTAAGTAGTGGCTCCCCTTGGGTGGTTCCTCCCCATAACCCCTTTTCTCTGCACCTCCTTGATACCTGACTGTGCTTTGTGGACTCCAATTTACTTAGTATGTCGTTGCTTCTCATTGCTTACAAATAAAAGCAGAAAAGGGGGAATTCTAGACCTGCAGATGCTGTTTCGATTCTGCATCAGAACATACGATGAATCACATCTGAATCTTATGATGATTAAAAGAAAAAAAAATATGAATAAGAGCTAGGAACGGGATTGTGGTAACAGCTTCCATGTGTTGCCTCAGTCCCTCCCATCCAGCCCTCGAGAGTGCGGGACGCTCCGGGCCATGGCTAGAACATTCTGTTTCTTGGACACATCTGGGAGCAGAAGGAGGGCCATCCATCATGCCTGAATGGCAGGATCCCTCCCACAGCTTTCAGGAGTATTTGGACACTGGAATGGGTTCAGTAAGGGCTAAATCTTCCTTCCATCGAAGGTAGCAGAGTGGATGGAGGAATTCTACCCAGCTCCTTCTGGCTGATTTCTGTAGGAATAGTGTGTGGCCCCAAAGGGGTCCTCATGAGATGCAACAGCAGGAGACAATGCTTGGTCCTTACAAGTGAACTCCTAGGAACCCAAATATGCTGTTCTTTCTTGCTCTTTCCAACCCGAATGCATCTACCATCGGACTCCTGCCTGTGCGCTGGCAGATTGTGGCATGAGGGGAGGTGGGTAGAAGAGTCCTGGAGGCACCACCAGTTTCTTGGCATCTCTTGGTGTGAGCAGAGAAGCCATGGTCTCTCAGTCACCTCCCAGGGGCTGGAGAGAACAGGGGTGGCTTGTGAAGTGCAACTGGTGTTTGAACAAATGTGCTCAGGTCTCTGCAGGACTGAGCCAGCTGAACTTGCCTGCAGCTGCCCCTATCTTTCCCTGGGAGTGTTCAGAGTGTTCCTGATGAATTAACCTGTGTTTCCCTTTGCAGGTGGTGAGCAAGGAGCTGGTTTGCAAGTCATGCCTGACAAGGACCTTGAACAAGCTGGAGACCATGATGACCATTCTTCAAGGAGAAATGACCCAGGGCACTGTGACACCAACTGGCATCGCCGACAACATCCTCAACATCACAGGTTGGTTTTGTCCAGGCAATAACTGGTGACAGTTCTCCCTTCGCAGGGTGCTGGGCAGAAGTAGGCTGAGGGAAGCTTTGCAGGCTTTCTCCTGTACTATCAGGGGTTCGGCCTTTTCAAGCTGTTAGGAAAATTGCATCTAACATTTGGAGTGTGGCACCCTGGTCCTTTCTTCTCCCTGAACTTTTCCCAGGGTTGGCAGCTGTCCCCGCAGCCATTTAAATACAGCAGTTGTTAATAAACTCACTAATATGCCAGGGAATTCTCCTTTTAGTAAACAAGGAGTACCAGCTATGGCTTCCAGATGCTCGCTTTCTGGTTGCAATCTGAGGAGGGTGCCAAATGTCACTGGGGCGCCTGTGAACACTGTGGAAATTCCCACCTGGTTACGCTGGGAGGAAGCAGAGGCACCTTCCTTGCCCTCCTCGTTAGGCTTTTCTGAGTGTTCTCCACCTAGTAGCACAAAAACTTACTAACATATGTTTGCTTTGTCCATTCCTTCCCTGTTTCCCAGTCTGCCATTCTAGTTACTAGACAGGAGGAAAATAAGCCTGTTGTGATTAAGTATTCACCGCCAAACTTTGTAGATTAGCCAAGAGACTGCCAGGTTTACTGACAGCTCTGTTTTTAGCTATGGGCTACTCAACACTTCCAGGGCAGAAGGCCATGTGCACAGTGTAGAGTTACATTGTTTGGGGAAGGTGTTACCTACACTGTAGACAGTAAGGAAAGACTTGTCTGATTGTTTGGGGAAGGTGTTACCTACACTGTAGACAGTAAGGAAAGACTTGTCTGATTGTTTGGGGAAGGTGTTACCTACACTGTATCAGTTATCTAGGCTATTCACCACTTCCTCTGTTTGCACCTTTATTTTTCTCCTGGCAGGTGACTTAATTCACCTCGTCAACACGGCATCACAAGAATCCAAGCCACAGGAGCTGCTTGCTGATTCCCACAATTTGCTGCTAGCTCCCAAAGCCTACAACCTGTCTTCCAGCCTGATGCGCATCCTCATGAAGTCTCGAGTGCTGAATGAAGAACCCCTTGAACTGGTGGGAGGAGAAATTAAGGCCACAGGCAAGCGGTCTGATCCCTTTAACTTGCTTTGCTACGAAAACACACCAAACTGCCAGTTCTCCATCCCCCAGGCATTCAACACCACCCTTTCCAACCTAACGGATGTCATTCAGGTCATGTTCCAAGTGGACTCCAATCCTTTTCCTTTTGGTTACATCAGCAACTACACCGTGTCCACAAAGGTCGCCTCCATGGAGTTTCAGACACACAATGGGGTGCAGATCCCCATCGGGAGCCTGGACTCGGAGAAAGCCATCACTGTAATGGTGTCAAACAACACAGATGCTGACAATCTCTCTGCTGGCACTGAAGTCATCGAGGCAAGAACATCTGTGAACCTAATTGTGACTATGGAGAGCAACAACAGAGAAGCAGGACTGCACTTCCAGCTCACTTACAGAGTCCTGAATGGTAGTGCAGACAGAGCCAACCCCTTATGCTCTTTGCTCTTTCTTCTGTGGGAGAGGAGGGCTGGGTGTGGTGGCAAAGGAGATAACAAGAGATAACTGGTCTGTGGGAGGGATGTCGGGTGTAGCCAGCAGTTCCCACATAATGTGGTTGAGGTGCTGGCTGTCACGGGTATTTTTCAGTCCCTGGTGTAATCCTTGCTTGTGGATTCAGGCACTGAGAAGCCTTTTGCATTTCCCAGCCCTCTGCTGAGCCACGTTCACACCAGAGGGAGTTCGTCCAGTCCCTCTCTTGGGCAGATACAGCAGCATCTTGAGCCTCTTGCTCAGGGATCCTCTGAACTGCAGAGACTGCAGTCTGGAAAAGCATCTCTCCCGACTTTCTACATTTCTGATCCTCTTCCCTGAACATCCACTGCTGGCAGCAGGCTTGTAGTTGAGCTCTCCCTGGTGTTTATAAAGCACTTTCTGTCTTTTCTCCCCATGCAGATCACTACATCGCAAGCGAGCCTGAGCCATTCATCATGGCTTACCTCCACCACGAACCAGAGCCCAATGAGCACAACTGCAGTGCCTCTAAGAAAATTGGCCTGGATGCCCTGGCTGGAAGTGACCACAAGCTCTACACCTTCTTCACCTCCCCCAGGTAAGAGAAGCACCCCCCTTGTAATCTCTGTCACCTACAGGCTGTCCAATGGATGCTCAGGGTGCTCAGAGCCTTGCTGTGTTTTCTGTGCCAGGCTGCTTTGGAGGGCTCGCGCTGTTGTAGCTGGCCACAGAGCTCCTCTGTCCGTGGAGGAGAGGGACTGCCAGCTGCCATTCCTACACCCAGCATGGGCACCTCTTCTACCCTGGCACTCCCTCCTTCCCAGACATCTGCCACTGGGCTGCGATTTGCCTTTCTGATCCCGGTGAGGGAGGGCTCCCCTTTCTAGAGCTGTCACTCCTGTTCCCTGTGAGTATTGTGACACTCACCCAGGGGATGAGTCTCCCTCCTCTGCCCTTTTCTCTGCTCACTTGCCTGATAGCTGCTGCTTGTGCCTGCTGCTTGTCCAGGCATTCATTCCCGATGCACCACTGATCCCAAAGCTGCCCGTCTTTTCCAGGAGGCTTTTCCCCAGGGGACTTACACTGACCTTTGCAAATTCAGGGCTTGCTTCATGCAGCTCATGAAACCATTTCCCAAAGCAAAACACCACACATTAGCCTAGTTCCTGACCTGGAGTGCAGCCTTCACGGAAGCACCTCTGTCCTCAGAGCTCACCTTCCTGATACATGAGCAGAGGAGAGCACTGGTTCCCTTGCAGGGTCCCATCCACTCAGCTTGCCTGCAGCTTGGAGCATGCTAGGGCTCATCAAGCACTGCTGTCGTGCTCTTGGGTTTTGCAGCAAAGCTCTCTTCTTTTTATGAGAGCAGTCATTCTTGTAACTCCCATTGCTGACTGGCTGCCTTGCCCAGGAGCACGTGTGTTGATACCTAGTGTTATTTATGAGCTATTACTGGGCATTATCTGAGAAGAAAATGATAAGCAGCTTGGGAATAGGTGGGGCAAGAGTGGAGCCACTCGTGTAAATTGACACAGCTTCCATGGCTTTTGGTAACAGGATGCTCAAAGAGGGATTAACTATCTCAATGAGCAAATCTACTCCCAGCCAAGAATGTGGAAGTGTCATGTGTCAGTGGGACACAGGGAAGGGTAGGTGGGAGGGCTGTGCAAGGCTGCCAGCACAGAGAAGAGGATGTGCAACACAGTGCTCCAGGTGCTGAAATAATTAATATGAAGGTAAAGAAGAATTCAAGTGTGTAGAACCCCAGAGTTTCTGCACAGCCAAAGGGTGATGTAGATTACACCATGTTCACTGGGCTTTTCCTTCTCATTGTGTGCTTGGACGATGGAACGGGGTTTCTGTCCCTTCAGCAAGCGGGTTAATAATGTCTCCTTGTCTTTCCCTTTTCCAGAACTGATGACACCATCCAGAAATACTACTTCAACATCACAAACCATTTCAGCTGGTCGCCAGTGGAGGTGACTCTGGGGCTGTACACCTCCCTCTGCCAGTACTTCAGTGAGCAGGAGAAACGCTGGAAGACAGAAGGCATCATCCCGCTAGAAGAGACCAGGCCAGACCAGGCTGTGTGCTTAACCCAGCACCTCACCGCCTTCGGGGCCAGTCTGTTTGTGCCCCCAAACTCTGTCCAGTTCATCTTCCCTGTGAGTAGAACAAAGCAGAGGCTGTTCAGCATTGCCACACGCTGAGCAGATTGTTGTCACCTAGAGGAAAGCCTTGGGCCCCTGTCAGCTTCTTCCCGTTCAGGCTGGGACATGGCTGACCTGTGCCCAGCTGGCAGAACACCCCAAATACCGGAGAGCCACAGGGAGCTGCAGACGAGCACAGCTCACAGAGGGACTGTGTCTTCTGGTCATGAATCCTGGCTGCTGCTGCTAAAAACAGACCTTTGCAGATGGCTTTATTCTCTATTCCGAACACCTCATGGTGTGCTCACCTCTTGGTGAGATGCCAAACACTGCTCCCAGCTGTCACCCAGCACTGTTTTATCCCATCGAGCTCACACCAGCCAGCTGCTCCCTGCCTCCTCAGGGCATTCAGGCTCTCCCGAGCTCTCTGTGTGACGTGAAGGGGAGCAGAGAGCTCTCCGCAGCTGCCGCAGCAGCTTCAGCTGGCTGCTGCAGTAATGTTCCACGCAGTCTGTTCAGGGAGGGGTCTCTATTTGCATGTGGTCCTGGGTCTGTGAATGATGAGTATAGCCGGGAAGGAGGCAGCATAACTCCTGGGGAATGGGGACGGGGATCCTCCTGGGGAAGGAGAGCACCTTTCAACATACTTCTTTTCTTCTAGGCTCCAGGCCCAGGTCTCAACTACATCGTTCTGCTGACTTGTGCTGTCTGCTTTGTGACCTACTCAGTGGCTGCACTGATCGTGCACAAGCTGGACATGATCGACATTAACCGAGTGGGGGTGATTCCCTTCTGTGGGAAGAATGGGCTGTACAAATACGAGATCCTGGTGAAAACTGGCTGGGGCAGAGGATCAGGTTAGCCCACAGCCTACTCCTGTGCTTGGTTCCTAGGGTGACATTGCATAGTTCCCCTGAGATCTCACCTCAGCACATCCTGCACCAAATGTTCCTCTGCAGGGCCCAGAGCTGCATTGGTGTTTGGAGCAGCACTGAGCAGACACAGTCAGTTCAGGGTTTCCCACGGCATTCACAGTTTTTATTGTGTGATGACAGGACAGGTCAGGAGCTGTGGAGAAGAGCATTCTGCCCCACCACTTGCTGCTGGGTTGGGACAAGCAACTGCTGCTGGGAGGAACCTCCCAGTATAAAAATACCCTCACCCTGCTTTCCCTGTCTGGGCTGTGGTTGCAGGAACATCCAAGAGGCAGCGATTGTTCCTCACTTTTGATCCTCTCCTGCAGAAGCATCCAGGCCTTGTGGGCCCTTCAGATGGACCATTTTGCTGTCTTCCAGCATCCATTGCTTTGTTCTGCCATCTGAGTCTTCCCCAGCAGCATGAAGGCAGGAAGCTTGGCTTTCTGATCCAGGGTTGGGTTTGTAGCTAGAGCTGCCAGAAACATCATCCTGGACTTGGAAATCCAAGCAGTTGGGATATGAAAGCTCTAAGCAAGGACAGAGGTTAAGTGCCACCTTGTCTCTGCCAGAAACATGCTCCTGTTGATCTTGGTGTCACCACTAGTTTCACTGGTTTTTCCTGAAGCCACCCCAAGGACCATCCGGGTTTGGCGGGTGGAACAAGGAGTATCTGGCAACGGGTACCAGAGAGAAGTCAAAGAAAACAAGTCTTTCAGCTACTTTGTGGAAAAAACACCCAGAATAAACATCTCCTCCCGTCAGGGTGTTAGCAAGGCAAGGAATGTCAAATTCAGTCCCCTCCAAAGAGGAAAACCATGAGCATGTCAAGGTCCATGCACCAGGCCAGTCTGAGCAGCTGCCCCCAGGCTCTGTGTGACACTACCCCTGAGAGTGGGGTAGCTGCTGAGCACGTTCCTTCCTCCCCAGTGACCTGGTGGCCCCTCTGAAGGGACATTGCAGCGGGCACCAGGTCACTAGCAGGAAGGCAGGGCTGGGGCACAGCTCCACTGGGGTGGGCTTCCCTAACTGAGCCCCTTTGACTCTGGCAGGTACCACGGCCCACGTGGGGATCGCTCTGTATGGCATAGACAATAAAAGTGGTCACAGACATCTGGATGGAGAAAATGCCTTCCACCGCAACAGCCTTGATGTGTTTCAGATTGCAACAGAGCGGAGCCTGGGGAGCATCTGGCGCATCCGCATTTGGCACGACAATAAAGGTGAGACGTGGGCGAGCGGGCGGCGCTGGGGCAGCTGTCACGCGTCCCAGGGCAGACCAGGGTCTGCTCTACCTGGGACCTGGGCCTAGAGCCTGGACTAACACTGTTGGGAGACTGTGGTGAGTTGTTGGTGTGGGGGAAGATTGCTGTGGGCAGACATGGGGTCTCCATCACGGGGAAGTCAGCTGCAGCGTGCTGTGCACTGTGACAGCATCTGAAAATGTCTGTACAGCCCAGGAGGGGACCTGGCTGTGCTGAGCCTTTCTCCTGAGGACTGTGCCATTCCCACCTGCAAAGACAGTGTAACAGGGTAACTGCTGCTGTCCTGCTGAGGGGCTCTTGAGTTGCCTTCTGAGCTTTGCAGGTTCATGCAGGGAATGTCTGCCACAAAACACATTTCTCCATCTCTTAACTTTTAGGACTCAGCCCCTCTTGGTACTTACAGCATGTCATAGTCCGCGACCTACAGAGCAGCAAGAGTTACTTCTTCCTCGTGAATGACTGGCTGTCGGTGGAGAGCGAGGAGAACGATGGCATGGTGGAGAAGGAGGTTTATGCTGCCAGTGAGTGCTCAGCCCCTGGGGCGTGGGGCTGGGATGGTGGAGCAGTACGACTGTTCTTGTGGCGTCAGGGAAGGGCCCGCAGCCGGGGATTGCATAGAGCCCACACAGCTCTTCCGCACTGAGCTGATGCCTCGCACAGGCGCGTGCTTTGTGGGGTGTATTGTGCCAGAGGACAAGACATAGCAGGGCCCCAGCCAGGCAGGAGGGACCTGTAGATGCAGTGGAGGCACTTCCTTGAATATCACCCTGCCAGAGGGGCTGTGGCAGGCCCAGCTGGGTCCCCTCCATGGCGCAGCTGTCCCTGAGGGTCTCCTTTTTGTGCTCAGGTGAGACAGAGCTGAGAAGCTTCTCCCGGATCTTCATAGCCGAGCTGCAACGAGGTTTCTTTGAGAAGCACGTCTGGCTGTCCATGTGGGACCGCCCGCCTCGCAGCCGCTTCACCCGTGTCCAGAGAGCCACCTGCTGCTCCCTCCTCATTTTCCTCTTCCTCTGTGCCAATGCTGTGTGGTACGGTGTGGTGGGCAACGTACACCTCAGGTACGCTGGGTCCCTCGGTGCTCTGCCAGTCCCTCACCTCCTCAGGGCCCCTCCTGTGCTTCCCGTTCTGTGGGGCAGGACAGACCTTCAGTCTGCTGGGAATAGCAGCTTTACTCGTGGCCTCGAGTCTGCCCTTCCCATTCCAAAGAATCTGGGACCAGGATGTGGATGATGGATGACCAAGGACACCCTGATCAGTTTTCTCCCTTACCTGGTTTTGCTGGGTCATCTGTTAGCACAGCCCATACTCATTTCTGTCTCTGCACAGCTGAAATGCCAGGTTGTGCAATTTTATGTCCTTGCTTAGCTGGCAACCCTGAGTGCTCCTGCTAACACTGGTCCCCAATCTCTCTTGATTCTCTCCAGCAACGGGGCCGTTTCCAACCTGATCCCTGTTAATGTGGACACAGTGGCTGTTGGTCTGGTGTCCAGCGTGGTGGTCTACCCTCTCTACCTGGTCATTTTATTTCTCTTCCGGATGGCTCGTGGCAAGGTAATGAGGAGAAGGAGTTACAGGCTGCCCAGGTGGGTGGGATGCCACAGGTCTGCACATCTGAGGTTAAATTCTGCCCTTTGGGGTGTGTCACTTCTCCTGCTGGTCTCTGCACATTCCCAATTGTGCCTCTGTGCTGCCCTGCACCATGGCCTGAGCAAGTCTTTGCCTCTCTCTTGAGCTGGGACAAGCCTCTGACCTTAGAGGGACAGATCACTGCCTGGGTTCTGACAACACCCAGATGGACCAGAAGGACAGATTTTAAAAGCTATTTAGGCATTTCCTCCTTGATCTCAGTCTGTGGTAGATACCCAAATGCTGTTTGAAGCTGTGACCCTTTGCTGCATTGGCAGGAGCTTGAGAGATGCTCGGTGGAGCATTGCTAATGGAATGCCTACCCTGGGTACAAATTCAGCTCTCTGAGCAGAGCTGTGGTTAGGCAGCTGTGAAAGGATTAGCTGGGGATTTAATGACTAGTTGGGCACAATTAGCAGCCCCATTAAGTACTGCAGCCAGCTGTTCAGAGCCTGATGAGCAGCAAATGTGTCTGATATTTCTTCTTCCTGTAGGCACTCCCTGCTTTGCAGGAAGTTGTAACCTCAAGGGGTTTCCTGGGAACTTGTGCCTGGCACAGCCTAGATGGCACTGGGCTGTGCTCTGTGTGGGACAGTGCCCAGGGTGCCTGGGAGGCAGTGGGGGATGTGTGTGTGCCTATTCTCAGCCCTACTGAGCAGGCCTGGGACACCCCAGCCCTGCCTGGAGCTCCCCAGCAGCGTAGGGAGTTGGTGGGACTTGCTGAGACAGGGCTCTGATTCCCTGGGACATCTTGCCTCTGCCCCTTGCTTTTCTGCTCAAGCCTTCCTGTCTCCTGCAGGTCTCCATCAACCACACCCTGACTCACTCAGACCAGCAGTCCTTGGAGATTGACAACTACCTGGACTCTTCGATCCTCGACAGCTCCTTCCCCACCTTCCCTGGGCTCCGAGCAGAGGTAACCTGCTTCCCACCCAAAACCTGGACACCTCCTCTATGCAGACTGATCCACCCACAGCTGTCAGTGCAAGAACTGATGCACTCAAGAGTCTCTGGCAAACATGGGTTGGGGGAGAGAGCCCCAGCCCTTCATCTCTTACCGGCATCTTTGCCCAGGCCCATGCCAGGTGCTGAGCACAAGCTGCCTCCAGCTGCTGCTCTGTGTGTCTGTGAGCGTGGATCTTCCCAGCGTGCCTGGGCGTGCTCTCTGGAGGAGAACAGGGTCCTGGAGGGGTGGGCCCAGGGCTTGGAGCAGCTCAGGCTCCAGGTTTCCGTGACCTCTGATGTTAACAACCTGCTGTTCTAACCAGGCACAAACCAGTGTCATCTGCTTGAAATGCCTCTGCTTCCTCCACAGGCCTTCTCTGAGCAAACCAAGACAGATCTGTTCTTGGAGGACTCCAAAAGGTGAGTAGGTTTCTTGGGGATGGAGCAAGTTTTGGGTGGGAGCGTTGATATGCTCAAGAGTAGGGAGGCTCTGCAGAGAGACCTGGACAGGCTGGAGCAATGGGCTGAGGCCAACTGGAGGAGTTTCAATAAGGCCAAATGCCGGGGGCTGCACTTGGGCCACAACAACCCCCAGCAGCGCTACAGGCTTGGGCAGGAGTGGCTGGAGAGCTGCCAGAGAGGGACCTGGGGGGGTGACTGACAGCTGGCTGAACATGAACCAGCAGTGTGCCCAGGGGGCCAAGAAGGCCAATGGCATCCTGGCTTGTATCAGCAATGGCGTGGCCAGCAGGGACAGGGAAGGGATCTTACCCCTGTACTCGGCACTGGTGAGGCCGCCCCTCGATTCCTGGGTTCAGTTTTGGGCCCCTCATCCCAAAAAGGCCATTGAATGACTCGAGCGTGTCCAGAGAAGGGCAACGGAGCTGGGGCAGGGTCTGGAGCACAGGTCTGCTGGGGAGCTGCTGAGGGAACTGGGGGGGTTTAGTCTGGAGAAGAGGAGGCTGAGGGGAGACCTCCTGGCCCTCTGCAACTCCCTGCCAGGAGGGTGCAGAGATGGGGGATGAGTCTCTTGAGCCAAGGAACAAGTGACAGAACAAGAGGGAATGGCCTCAAGCTGCACCAGGGCAGGGTCAGGCTGGCTCTGAGGAAGGATTTCTGTGCAGAAGGGGCTGTTGGGCGTTGGAATGGGCTGCCCAGGGCAGGGGAGGAATCCACATCCCTGGAGGGGTTGAAGAGTCGGGCTGACCCAGCGCTGAGGGATCTGGTGGAGTTGAGAATGGTCAGTGTGAGGTTCATGGTTGGACTGGAGGAGCTTCAAGGGCTTTTCCAATGGACAGAATTCTGGGATTTTGTGAAGTAGGAGTTTAGTGTAGTTTTTTGCTTTGTTAGGCTGGGGTTGTGCTCTCACAGTTGCTTTTCTTGTGCTTCCCATTCCCCACACGTACCTGATTGCATCTGTTCCTCTGTTTTCCCACAGCCTCGTGCGGTGGCCCTCCAGTGAGGCCCTGCTCAGCTGGCCAGACCTCCTCAGCGACCCCTCCATCATGGGCAACACTATCCAGAAGCTGAAGAGAGGCCGGGCCAGCCGCCACCTCGGACTTGAGGCCCCATTGGCCACTGAGGAGGACAGCTTGTCACTCGGTGTTCACCAAGGACAGCCTCGGTATTTCTCTGCCTCAGGTGGGTGTGGGAGTAGCATCGCTCTGTGCCAGGGTTGGAATACTCTGGGGAAGTGCAAGAGGAACAATCTAGTCCTTAGGAGCCCCATCTCAGCTCTGGAGAAGGCAGAATAGCAGAGTCTGCCACCATCACCACCAGCTTCAATTTGAAGGGCAGAAGAGGAGGGTTGTATTCTCTTAATGGGTGTTTCAGTCTGGGAAAATAAAAATCCTGATGTGGATCCATCTGGAGCAAGTGGGGGCTGAATGTCACAGACAGCCAGCGCTGCTTCTCTGGTTGTAAAGCCACAGTGTGTCTCTGAACCTCTGGAAATGGCTGGAGAAGGAGAAGGTCTTGGCCTCCTACGCCAGCAGTTGCGTGCCAGGCTCCGCAGCCAAGCTGCGGCTGGACAGGAGTGAGAAGACAGGGAGGAGGGGAGGGCTACCCCACCGTGAGGGACCTGGTTCTCCTCCTCCTCCCCAGCCCCACAAATGGGGCTGAGCCTGCGTGGTGCAGAGCTGTCCCATGGTGTGGTGCAGGGTGCTGGCGCCCACCAATGCTGTTTGCACTCTGCATTTCCCCAGATGAGGATCTGATCCGGCAGATTCTGGCAGATGGAGCTAGCGGCATCTCCCATTCCCAGGACCTGGGGCCCTACATGAGGGCTGAAACGGATCTGATCTCGGGCCTGTAAGTATTCGGGGAGCGGAGACCCTGCTGAGCTTGTGCCTCCTGCCCCTTGCCCTCCCACCCAGCTCCACAGTGGCCAGTACCATGCTGCCCAGCTCTGCTGCACCCAGCCTCAGCAAGCTGAGCTGAGCTGGTGTTTGAGACACTGCAAATGCCTGGGATAACCTTGTCATGAGACACTACATTCTTGCTGGCTGCAATTCCTACAGCTCCCTGCAGCCAGAGCTCCAGGAGGGCACTGCCACCCTTCCAGGAGCCACCTGCAATATCCCTCTAAAGCCCCAGCTGAAGATGTGTGTCCAGAGCTTTGGGAACTGCTGACAAAGTGCTTGGATGTGGGTTTGCTTCATGGGACTGACAAGAGGGAAAAGAGGTGTTGAATCTCTGTCATGTTTTCTTGCCCAGAAGCACCCTGCTTTGGCACCCTGACCAGCACCCAGCTAGGCTGGCAGCTCGCTGCTGGATAGCCAGTGCAAAGCCTTTCAGCCTTCCCCCACAGGGCACGGAGCAGAATGTCTGCGTGTCCCGGCAGCCTGGGCCCGCTACTCTGGAAAAAACGTGCTTCTAACTGGTCTGGGGCTGCTGCACTGGTGTAGCACTGGAATTCGGTGCACCTCGGTGCCAGCCTGCTTACTACAGAACCAGTGGTGGTATGGCTCACAGATATCACCCCTTCACTTTGGCAGGTCCAGTGTCTTTGGGGAGAAGGTGGAGACTGTCATGATGCAGAAGCTCAACGACAAAGGCCAGAGCATGGCAGCTCCTCCCAGGGAAGTGAGCAGATCAGCCAAGTCGACCTGGACAGGTACCTGGGCTGCAGGGCTGTGTTGGGGCAGGGAGGGTGGGGACATGCCTGGAGAGGGGCTGTTGCACAGGGTGGTGCTTGGGTGATGCAGGCAGGTAAATAGAAAAGAAGCCTTAGGAAAACCGCTCCCCTGCTTGGGATATATTTGCTGTTTCTTGCCAGCTTCTCTTGGAGGCTGAATCTCAGCAAGCCCTGGGCCACCACTTGTGCTGTGACTGTCCTGCTGTGAGCTCTGGGGAAGCTCCACTCATGCTTCTCCAGTTACCTGGCTCTCGGTGGCCATCAGCCATCTCATCCACTCAGCATGAGTCTCTGTGCATAACCAGAGGGGAAAGGGAGTTAAATGCCAAGGAAAGATCAAATCAACAAACAAAGAAGAGAAAAGACACTTTCCTACTGGGTCACGCAATAGGAGAGCTGGCCAGCTGGGCTTGCACCAGGCGGGGAGCGGGCTGCCAGGCCCTGCAAGGGCTGGGGGATGATAAGTGCCCTGGGGAGAAGCTCAGCATCAGTTCCCTTAGCATGAGCTCTTGGCTTCCCGAGGCACAGCCTCCCCGGGATGGGCTGCAGCATGGAAAACTGGACACAGCAGCAATCCTCTTGGGTCCATTAAAATCCATTGTTTTGTCTTGGTTGATGAATATCTTTACGCAGGCATTGATTTCCCTGGGTGGGTGAAGAAGCTGTGCTGAGTGAGCCCTGGGGCTGGGTGTTTGGCAGTCTGCAGGTAGCCAGAGCAACTAGTCTGTGTGGCTTGTCACAGGTTTGACAGTAGCCAGGCTGGGCGTGCCCAGTGTCCTGGGGCTCAGAGAGAAAGCAGGGAACCCATCCCACTACGCAGATCAGGATCCCGTCTCCATCCCCTGTTTGCCAATGGGAGGCTGGCTGTGTCTGTGTGCTGTCCGTGCTGCTGCTTAGTGGGAGATGTTTGGGATGATCCCTCCAAACTCGCCCAGGACTGGTGGCGAGCTCTCTGTTGGGATGAGTGGTGTGTGCTCAGCCCTTCTTGTGCCTACTGGCACCATTTTACAGTAATGTTCATGCTTGTTTTCCCTCCTCCTCCCAGTTGCAGACCAAACATTCAGGAAGCGCTTGCTGCCACCCTGGTGCTCCTATCTGGCTCATGGTATCAGTCTCCTCCTCTTCGCCACCTCCACGGGGGTCTCTGTGTGGATTGGGGTGGGCTTTTCCTCCAGTGTTGCCCTCATGTGGCTCATCTCAGGGATATTCAGCTTTCTGGCATCCTTTTTGGTCTGGGAGCCACTGAAGGTGAGGATGAGTACAACGAGCACATATCTGTACGTGTGTGTGTGTGTGTTAGCTGCAATTAACATTTTGTCCAGATACTAATCAAGTCCTGCTGGATGCTGTGTGGTTTGAATACTCGTGGTATCCCTGGGGGGGGGGCAGGATGTGCACACCAGCAGTAGGAGAGGCTGGGCTGGTGGCAGTTGGGTTTAGGGGTGGTCTGGCCTCTCAGCGGCTGTGCCGCACTCGCTCTCCATGTGGAAAGGCCTGTGGGAGCTGCTGCGGCCGCAGGACCGGCAGCATGGCTCGCTCCCCTGCCTCATGGCACTGCCTGTCTCCCCAGGTTCTGCTGGAAGCCCTCTATTTCTCTCTGGTTGCCAAACGCTTGCACCCAGAGGAAGATGATACCTTGGTGGAGCATCCGTTTGTTGAGCATGTTTCTGAGAAGATCAGCAAAGTCCGGCCCCCGCAGGGCTTCGCCCTTTTCCAGGCCAAGGAGGAGGCCAGGAAGGTCAAACTGCTACACAGGATGCTGAAGGTGAGATGTCTCCTGATGCCTGTGGTGCCTGAGGCAGAGTGCTGGCTCCAGGAGCAGAGACACATCCTTGCCTGGTCCTCTCAGTCTGGCTATGATCTCCTGAGCTAGTTGGTGCATGTCTCCAGTTTCTGCCTCGGCTTCCCCATCTGTAGAAGACTGGTAGTGATGCTCAGCTTCTTGGTGCAGCTCTGAGATCTGAAGGGGCTGGGAGGCAGAACCGTAAGGGGGTTGATTTGGAGGGGCTGGTGTGTTTGACCCTGTAACTCAGGTGTTTGAGGGCAAGGTTTACAGTGCGGAGTAGACACCGACTCCCACAAGAAAATTCATTACTTGAGTCTTGTGAAACACACAATTCCCTGTCTAGGAGCAGAAGTTTCAGTCTTTGTGGCTCATTCACTACTAATCTTCCACACTTGTGCTGGAAGTACACAGCTGCTTTAATGGAGTCAAGTTATTTTTAACTGAGTGATTTCCCTTTAAAAGATGGAAACCCCAAAACTATGAAGTGAGCTGAGCTGCCTGTGTACAGGAGCTCATAGAGGGAGGTTGTGCAATGCCTGTCAGCTGAAACATGTGCTGGGCCAGCCACTTTGAACAAAGAATATTGTTACAAGCCTGTGGTCTGGGTTTCATTTTAAGCTGCTTCCCATGCAGAAGGAGAAGGCAGCATGCTCTGGGTCCTGAGCCTGCTGCGTAGCAGGCAGCACTGATGTGCTACAGGATTGTGAACTGCTCCCCCCCGTGCTTGGGTGCAATCCCTTTCTGCTCTCTGCTTACCAGAATTTCCTCATCTACATGATGTTCTTGCTGGTGATCCTGCTCACCAACTACGGAGACGCCTCCCGCAACAGCAGGGCCTTCCTCTTGCAGAGCTCCATCAAGCAGCAGTTGGGCAGCAACGAATTCCTCCGCATCAAGAGGTAACTGCCTTAGATGGCAAGGATCAGGATGTTGCTTTATGTCAGAGAGGCTGCACAGGGCTGCAGCGAGGGCTCGGGGAGCTGGCTGGGGCTGGCTGCTGGGCTCAGGCTCCGCAGTTGCTCCCCTGAGAGGTTTCCACTCTGTGGGGAGCGCTGGTGCCTCCGTGGATCCAGGCACCCGCACACGAGCACTGCGTGGCAGGGAGCAGCTCCCCTTTTGTCCCTGTGGCTCTGCTTCTCCCCTGGAGAACAGAGGGGACCTGTGGGGGTTGAGAGCTTTGATTTCTTTGAATTTTCATGATTTCCTCAGTGGGAAGGAACTGTGAATTATAAATGTTTATCTTTCTGTATCTGGTCTAAAGGACACAAGTTTGCTCTGTCTCCAGAATTTACAACTGTAAGGTTTAGCCATAAACAGCATCACAAGAACCAAAAATAACATCTCGTATAAATGCAGAGCCCTTCCCTTCCTTGCTCTGCATGTATGGTTTAACGAGATTAAATTTCCCCAGCTGGGTTTCCACACTGCTGCAAACTCCAGGCTGACACCAGAACGGCTGCCTGCGATTAACAGAGTCTTTGTACCCGTGGTTCTTCTGTGCAAATAGACGTGACTTGTCTGTGCCACACAAAGTCACGGAAACTTCAGTTCACCACAGTATAAATCGGGAATGATTCCAGTGAACTTGGTGGAGTTTCTGTGGTGAAAGTGGTATAAAGGGGGAGAGCAGCAGAATCTGGTCCTAATCACCATCTCTTTTCCACCACGCTACCACAGACCCCCCTGGTCTGCTCCTCCTCTAGGTGCTGAGTAGATTCAATCACCTTTAGATCTTGCATGTCAAATAAACATTTTCCTCACCTTGGAATGGGTGGAAACGCTGCCCTCTGCCTGCTAGTCAGGCACCAGGGAGGGGAGCAGTCCAGCTTAGTGCTCCAAAACTCAGTCCCTTGCTCCAGGTGAAGCACTGATGGTCATGGGTGAGCCCTGCAGAGCTGCCCAGGAGCTCTGCCTCTCATGCTTCTTTCCTACTGCAGGTCAGATCAGTTCTGGGTCTGGATGTCGCAGGTCTTCCTCCCGTACCTCTACAACAACCAGTCGGGTCAGGAGAGCTACAGCACCACGCTGGGGACAGCCCGGCTGCGCCAGCTCAGGCTGCAGGAGGGTAAGTGGGCTTTGCTGTCACCAGGGGGATGGTGACATTCCTGGAGGAATGAAAAGTCCAGGGCTGGGTGCAGCTGGGGCTGGGTGAAGCCAGGCAGAGGTGATTGAGGCAGGTTTTTCTTTGCAGTGTGTGTATTAGTGTGCCTCTGGCTCTGCTCCTGCAGAGGTGAAGTGGGGCGGGTGATCACAGGGGTTTACACTGAAGAGAGAGGTTGGCTTGATTTCTGGAGCTGGGACTGAGGGCGTGGAGGTGGAGGGGGCTTGGGAAGAAGAGAGATGTTGAGTGTGAGAGCTCAGCTGCGTGCCCCAGCACTGTTTGGCTGCCTTGGGCTCCCCGTGGGATGACAGTGTTGATCTCGTTCCAGTTGAGTGCCAGCACAGCGCCTGGGACATCCTGCACGGCGTGGGCACGGCTGCCAGGGAAAACTGCCCCCCCTCACACGGCTTCTCTACCGCTGACTACGCGGCTGGCTGGGAGAGGGCGGCCGTCAATGTGACAGCGGCCTGGTCCTACTCACCACCCGACCTGCCGGGGTAAGGAGCTGCCCAGCCTGCACCCACACCCCTGCTCCACCTGTGGCATCTTTCCCATTGATTCCCAGCACCCACCCGCACCCTGCCCCTCAGTGAGGCCACCTGCAGTCCCCGAGTGTAGAAAAAGCTACTTTGGCTATGGGGAAGGAAAACAGTTGGAATAGGCTGCCAGAACACTGCATGTTCCTAGGTACATACATTTTGCACCAGGGCAGGGTCAGGCTGGCTCTTAGGAAGTATTTCTTTGCAGAAGGGGCGTTGGAATGGGCTGCCCAGGGCAGGGGGGAGTCCCCATCCCTGGAGGGGTTGAAGAGTCGGGTTGACCCAGCGCTGAGGGATCTGGTGGAGTTGAGAATGGTCAGTGTGAGGTTCATGGTTGGACTGGAGGAGATTCAAGTTCTTTTCTAACTGAGATGATTCTGTGAGGGGTTCAGATAATGTAGCTACAGAATACAATTGCTAATGATTACCTCTTATTTTTCTGCTAAATTGCTTTGGTAAGATAAGACACAGCTGACATTCAAGGGATAATATAAACATAATTCATGTCTGCATTATGAATTATATTTATCCATCAGTGCTAAGGCAAGCAAAGCACTTGGTATGCCCATAGGTGGAGGAAAGGCAATCAACAGATTGCCAAATAAATACTTCATTTAAACAAACACAGGCTAAACATCAGTTGTTCATTTCATCTGAATAAAGTTTTCTTAAGAATTCTGTAAATATTTCTAGACTGGCACATTCTAGACTGGCAAACTGCAATTAAATACCGAAATGCCAAAGGCTTTCCCTGAACGCATCCACCCTGGCAGTGGGAGTGGTGAGAGGCACGTAGCTACCACTCACCCGCCTTCCCTGGCCACATGAATGGCTGAAGGGCTCCGCAGTGTCCTCAGCCTGGGGCAGATGGTTCAGCTCTTCAGGGCAGAGACAAGCTGCAGAACGAGGTGACCCCACCGCCTGCAGAGACCAATGGGGCAGCACTGGTGTTCTGTTAAAGTGGGTTAGGGGAGATGGGCCTTCCCCAGCCTGCGGGACGTGAAATCGCTGTTGGTTTCTGTGCTGTTTGTTCCTGGATGTGTTGTCATTGAAGTCTGGGGCACCACGGGGCATGGGGCTGTTCTGGGGCTGAGAACGCTGATATGGGTCCATGCGCTTCTGTAATTTGTGAAAGAAATAACGAGGCAGCTTTGCCCCTTGGATGTGCAGCACAGGGTCGGGGTTGGCATCTGCATGCTTGCTCCTGGCGTGCCACGCGGTGGCTGTTCTGTCCTTCAGCTCTCACCCCACAATTCCTCTTCCTCCGCAGGGTCTGGTACTGGGGTTACATCTCCTTCTACGACAGCAGCGGTTATGTGCAGGAGCTGGGGGCTTCCCTAGAGGAAAGCAGGGCCCGGCTGAACTTCCTTCAGCAGCACACTTGGATCGATAACATGTAAGTGTGGTGGGGGCAGAGGAAATGTTCTGCCATCACCCAGGTTTTGAAGGGGTGCTGCTGGAGTGTCAGGCTCTGTGATCCTACCAAACAGCAGCACCAAAGCCTGGAGCTGGCATTCTCCCAGTGCCTTGAGCTGCTCCTCTCCCCTCCGCAGGAGCCGGGCAGTCTTTGTGGAGCTGATGCAGTACAACCCCAGCGTGGACCTGCACGCTGCCATCACCCTGCGGCTGGAGTTCCTGGGCGCCGGCCAGGCCATCGCTGCAGTCACCATCAGCCCCTTCCCGCTGCTGCGGCTCAGTGGGGGGGTCACGCTGCAGCTTCTCATGATGGTCAGTGTGTTACCTCCCCTCCACATTCCTCTCCCCTCTCGGAGGGCTCTGGGGACCCATTGCCGGGGCTCCTGGAAGGGCAGCGTTGGTCACTGTGGACTACGGCTCCCCTGCCTGAGGCTGCTTGTCCCTGTGCTGGTCACCGTTCCGCTTGCAGGCCTGGGTAGTGCACAGAAAACATCTCCCACACCACTGAGGGGAAGGAGATTCCTCCTGTCTGGCAACATTTGTTGGTCTTGTCTCAGCCCTTTTGATTCCTTGAGCTTATGCCTTTCACTGTGGAAACTTGAGGCTTTTGTTGTTCTGCCCTCGGTGGGGCCATCAGCCAGCTGAGCCATGTCCCTGGAGACCCTGCCTGGGCCAGGGTTTTGTGTAAATAGAGCTTGGGTGCTGCCACCCTGCCACAAGTGCACTGGAGGTGGCTTGAGGAGGATCACTGCGAGGGCAGGAGGGAGCAGGGCTTGGAGAGAGCAAGGAAGGTGTGGGAGAACTCGGGGGTGTTCTCCAGCCTAGTGCGTGGGGCTTTGGCTGTCCTAGGGTGTTGCAGGTGCAGTCTCATGGTCGAGCATTGCCCTCTCTCTTCCCTGCTCACGTCTGTGTTCCTCCTCCAGGTCTTCCTCATGATGTTTGTGGTCTACTTTGTGGTGTCCGAGTCACTGTCCATCAAGAAGGAAGGCAGAGCCTACTTCACCCTGTGGGGCAACTATGGCCAGTGGGTCTTCATCCTCCTCACCACGTGCACCGTGGTGGTGCACCTCAGCCAAGCCACCCTGGCTGACCAGCAGTGGCTCAAGTACCTCAACAACCGCAGGGGTTTCACCAACTTCTACCAAGTGGCCTTTCTCAACACCGTCTTCAGCACCTTGGCTGCATCCCTCCTCTTCCTCCTGACCGTGCAGGTATGGGGAGCGTCGAGTGGGAGCAGTGTGTGGGCAGGGGGTGTGCGTTGGTTCTCTGTGTGCTGCAGCAGGGACAGCAAAGGGCCCTGAAGTAAAAACAAGTATAAGATTGTGCCAGACACTGATCAAATGCGACGGGGCTGCTGCCACATCCAGACCTACTGCAGGACAGGACTGGTGGGCAGTGATGCCACAAGCTGTGGCACTTGGGGTCTCTGAAGCCTTTGAGCCCTCAGTTCCCTTGGGGAACTCAGCCCCGTGCAGCTGATGGGATGATTTTGTCCACAAGGAGCCCCTTGACCAGGGTGTTCTCTGCTCTGCCAGCATTTCCATTTTGCAGACTCATAGAACTGTTCAAAAGACCCTTCCCGGGGCTGGGAAGATCTCTCATCATCTGCTGTGATGGGCCCTGCCGTAACACCATCCTCTCTCTCGGTCCCAGGCTGCCCAGCAGCTGCGTTTCGTCAGGCAGTGGTCTGTGTTCGGGAAAACCTTTCAGAAGTCTGCAAAGGAGCTGACTGCTGCAGGGCTGGCGTTCGCTGTCCTCATCCTGGCCTATGCTCAGCTCGGCTTCCTGGTAAGTAACTGCTGTCCCCTCTCGCCTCGCTAGTGCCTGGCTCTCGGTGAGGGCATCCCGGGATCGTGTTGCCCTCATCCCTCGCCACGCCGTGGCTGTGAGCGGAGCCCAGTGGGCCCTTAGGGTGCTGCAGGCCAGGCGGCTTCAGCCAGGGGCTCCTCAGGGCTCACACTTTGTAGGACAGGGTAATGGATATCGGGGGTCAGGGGAATGTTTTGCCACTGATTCCTTCTCATTCTATCTCCAATGTCCCCTCTGCAGCTCTTCTCCTCCTCCTCGGAGTCCTTCCGCAGCGTTGGCAGCAGCCTCCTGCTGCTGTTTGCCATGCTGCGGGGCAGTGTGAGCCTCCGCCCCTGCCTGCCCGAGTCCTCAGGCCTCTACTACCTGTTCTGCACCAGTTACATCGTCCTGGAGGTGTGGATCGTGCTGAGGCTGTTCACCGTGGTGCTTATCCACAGCTACCGGGAAATGCACTTTGAGCTGTACCGCCCCGCCTTCGAGCCGCAGGACTACGAGATGGTGGAGCTCTTCGTGCGCAGGCTGAAGATGTGGATGGGCTTCAGCAAAGCCAAGGAGGTGGGCACAGCCTGGGGTCTCTGTGGAGAAGGAGCCCGGTAGCCACCCGTAGATATTTGTGGAGAATCAGCATGTGCTGTCCTCAGCCTGCCTTTGCCCCTGGCTCCTTCCTGCTGCTGATCATGGGTTCCTCTGGCCCACGAGGGCTTGGAGCAGTGGCTGTCCCTGCAGGCCCAGGAGCTGGGTTAGCGATGGGGCCTTGTAGGGGTGTGTGCTGCCAGTTCTCAGTCCTGCGGTTCCCCAGGGTTTATCTGGGGTCTGTCCCCAGCTCCATGCCGGGGCCTGGCCCCCCCAGAAGGGCTGTTTGGAGCAGGACCCACATCCCAGCTCCTAAAATAATTCTGCTCCCCTGTTCTCTTCCAGTTCCGGCACAAGGTCAGGTTCGAAGGGATGGAGCCGCTGCCATCCCGGGATTCCAGTGACTCCAAATCCTTCCGGGGCCCCACTCCCAGCGCTGCCTCCGACAGCTCCAGGGCCTCCACCTCCTCCAGCCAGCTGGATGGGCTGAGCCTGGTGCTGAGCACCCGTGACAGCCTGGAAGTGGATGCTGACATCCAACGTCTCCTTTCCCTCTTCGAGATGCTCCTCGCCCAGTTTGATCGCGTCAACCAAGTGACAGAGGACGTGTACCGCATCGAGCACCAGCTGGAGGGCTCTCGCAGCCGCCGTTCCCGGAGGAGGTACGCCCAGTTCTCGGAGGGCATCCTCGGCACGGAGCAGGGGCCCTCGCCCGAGATCTCCTCTGACACGGACCTGCAGCCCCCACGGGACGCCCCGCTGACCCCCCACTCTCCCGCCACCCCGCGAGGCAGCCGGGGCTCTGTGCCCAGCCGACTCCTTCGAGCTAGCCGAGGCATCAGCGTGGCATCTTCCGTGCTGCCCCCACACAAACCCTATGCTGCCGGAGCTCCGGCTGTCAAGAAGAAACGGCCCCTCCGGGCCAAGAACAGGGTGCACCCCACTGTCAAATAACGGGCAGTGTGTGGGCATGGCGGGGAGCAAGGCCCGGGCAGGGTGGGGAGCGCCTGGGAAGAGGTTTGCGAAGGGTGGGCTGTGCCCGCCGTGCAGACCTGGAGCCTCAGGAGCTGCTGCTTCTGAAAGCTCCTGCCGAGAGGGCTGCTGCCTGCACTGCAGGGGGCTGCTGCCTGCACTAAGGCTGCTCCTGCACCGCGGGGCCTCTGCCTGCGCCACAACCTGCACAGCCACTGTCCTCCCCAGGCCCTGACAGCCACCTCCTGCCTGGTGGTTTCCAGCATTGGGGTTGGGTGGAGAAGGCTGAGCCTTTCCCGCGGGATCAGGGTGCAGCAAAAACCCCTCTTGGGGTAGGGCAGTATTAAAAAGTTGTATTTTTTTGTTAAATGGCCGCTGGCCCAAGGCCGCCTTGCTGGGGCCTGGCACGGGGGGGCTGGGACAACACTCACCTCCCTTCCCCACTGGCTGGGCCGGAGGGAGAGGGTGAGGGGAGAGCCCCAGGCCTTGAAGGTTTGAACTGAGTCTTGGATTGTTGTTGACCAGTCACACTGTGGAGGAAAGCTACAGGTTTTGAGAAGATATTTAACCTTTTTTTTTTTTTTTTTAAGCATAAATATATATAGATATAGATAAATGATATCTAAGCCCAGATCAGTTAATTTCCAATATTGGCTACTTTTATCCTCTGGAAATTGGTACTATTATTTGTATTTAAAGACACCCAATATTTAAAACAAATGACATTGCAAGCTGCAGTGAGCTGCTGGCCCTACTGCCTGGCCAGGCTTGAGGGGATGGCGAGCGGCAGCTCAGCCCCAGGGCTGCAGCTCCAGGCAGGGGGTTGCTGCAGCGCTGGCTTCGCTGCGGCCCCCCACATCCCCCCAGCCCTGCCCCGGCGCTCACCCCACCCTGCGGTGGCCCATGGGCGCTGCTGCCCGCTTGGCTTTTCTAATCCAAGGAATGTATTGACGTAAGTATATGTTTGGGGGTTTTTTTTGTTTGTTTACTTGTTCATATGTACTGCCCAGCACTTTAAACAATGCTTTCCTCAGCTAACAATGACACACGCGGTCTAACAAGAACGGGATAATATATCATAAAAGCAGTATTTTTTTGTTTTGATTTGGTTTTGTTCATTTGTTTAAATTGTAAACTGAGCAAGCACTGATGAAGTGAACGCAGCCCCCAGCACACCCCAGCCTGAGGCAGCCGGGCCAGGAACTCCCAGCATCTTCCCTAGAGAAGCACAAAATCAGGGGAGGCAGGTGAAGCCCTAAAGGAGCTTTTGTTGGGGTCCCTGCCCTCGCCCCGCAGCTCCCCAGGACTCACTGGGCTACAGCCGGCCTGTGCTTGCTGTACCCAGCCGGGGAGGGGCTGTGCCACGGGCCCCTCCTGCTCACAGACGGGGTGCTGAGCAGCAGCCGGAGCCTCCCCAGGGGCAGCCAGAGCCTCCCCAGGGCCTGCGTTCACTTCGTCATTGCCATTTCACCTGATGTATATTGTAAGTAATTTATATGGGTTGGTCTGTTTTTTTCTTTTTTTTAAATGTATATATTTTTATATGTTTGCTATATTTTCATAGCATCGGTAACATGTTTGAAACATGTAGATAGGGGACAGAATATTATTGTCAGAGTTATTTAAAGGATGTATTAAGTGCTTCTTCCTGGGAATGTCCTGTGTATATAAGTGTGAGGTGTCTGTGTGCGTGTGGTGCGTGTGCTCTCCCCCTCCGCCGCGGTTCGCCGGTGCTGGGTGGTGGGTGCCCAGCGCCTGCCCCCACCTCGGGAAGCGCCAGGGGGGCACCGAGGGGCCTTAGGCAGCGAGTCCAGACAGGCAGAGCCATGGGGCAGGGGCCTGGGCGCTGCTGGCGGCCCTGGCAGAGTGAGGGGTGTCCCAGCTGCCTCATCACGTCACTTCCTGGGTCTCCCCATCCTGCTCCCAGCTGGTCAGATGCTTTTAAAGATTTTGTTCCCGCTGTCCATGGGCTTCCTTGGCTCCTGGCACCCTTATGGGCAACTGAAGGAGGACACAGGAGGGCCCAGGGGTGCTCTCTGGGTTTGGTGTAAGTTCCCTTTGAGAAACTCAGGTGCTGTGAAGGCCGGAGGCTGGGGGAAGGTTGCAGAAGGATGCGGGCAGGGGGAAAACAAGTGTGGGGTGACTTGGAGTGAGATGGGGGTCAGTCACCATAGAGGTGTTTGAAGGCGCAGAGTGCAGGGGGAAGCAGAGGAAAGATTAGTGGTAACCATGAAGCTTTTTAGTAGAAGGAACAGCAGGTAGAAGCGAGGACAGAGAAGGGCCTGGAGTGCAGGAGAGTAGCTGGAGGATCCAGCCGGGTGGCAGTGGGTGCCTGGTGCAGGCAGAAGGGGCAGCGAGGGCCCCAGAGTCCCCATGAGCCCAGGGCTGGGCCTGGTGCTGGCGGTGTGAAGCTTTGCACACGAAGGATTTGTTCCAGCTTTTACAAACAGCTCCATCTGCTCCAGAACTCTGACTCTATCTAAAACCAATTTTCAAGCCAGAGATTTAAAACTTTTAGCCTTGTATTTTTTCTGGTTCCTTTTACTTCACCAAGCAGCACAGCCTCTGGGCTCGCTCTGGTCGGTGCCCCCGACTCTTTCGGCAGTGGGTACGGTGGTGGTGGCTACAAGCCCTGGCCAGATCCCCTGAGCTGTACCAGGGTACAGCTGATAACGGCGCTGGGCACATGCTGCTGAGCTCGTGGGTCCTCCCTGCTGTAGGAAGGACGTAGTTATAAAGCAAAATAAAACACCTGCCCCAGAACAACCACTTCTAGCCTCCAGCTCTGCCCTGCAGCCCTTTCCTACTGCAGTGGAGCAAGGTGTGTAGATCCAGCAGCCCCTGAGGGCCATGGGGGTACATTCCGTGAGGAAAACGAACCAAGCAGGTCTTGGATATCTCTTGCATCTTCAAGAGTGAAAAAGTTCAGTTCAGGAGCCCCAGATCAGCTCTCAGCTGTGTGTGCTTGTTTAAAAGAGGTTGGTGAGAAGAGTTAAGTGCAGGAGGGAGAGACGCAGGCAAGAGGCAGCGGCAAGCAGGGCCCTGACTGCTCTGAAAAGCCTTTAATAAGCTACGGGGAGGTGAGCGGGCGCTGGGGGCCTGGGGTGCCCCCCCAGGGAAGCATCAGGATTCTTGTCCCTATTTCTTCCAGAGCTTTGCTCTGCGTGTGAGTGTGACTTGATGCGTGTGACTGACCAAGTGCTGCTTCTAACCGAAGCGGAGCAGCACCAGGATAGGACAAGTGCCCTCCTCCCTCCCTGCGCTCGAGGGACGGAGAGCAGCTTGGGAACCCACCCTTGTTCCTTGAAAAGCCAAAGGCCTCCGTGAGGGCACGGGGGGCACCACCGCCAGCTTTCAAACAAATCATAGTTCTCATGGCAGCATTTATTTGTACAAAACTCCAGCACCACTCGCAGGGCTCCCTACCTGTCCCAGCCGAGGCACCACATACACGTGCTGAGGTGCAGCCAGAGGTACCGAGCCTGGAGTGAGACCCCTGACAGCAATAAACTTGACTTTGCAGCCCTCGCTCATCAATACTCCTGAATGTGTATTTCTGTGTTTGTAGTCACCAAGAGATGGTCTTATTTATTGTCTTAAGTCTCACAAAGATGAAATAGTATCAAGCTGCTTAAATAAAAAAAACCTCTATCCATTAGTTTAAAAGGGAGAGGGAGGGACTTACATAAGTGCTTTTTGTTGTTTGTTTTTGTTTTGTTTGTTTTTTTTTTTTAAAAAAAAGAACAGATGATTGTGACCAATATGCCAACTGTTACTGTCTGGTCAGCATTTCACTGCAAACAAAAATAGCATATTTTGTAACTGTGGGGATGTTTCTTAAAAAAATGACAAGGTCAAATAAAAGATGACTGCTAGGCCCTGGCTCTGGTGCTTTTGTTACACTCACTCCAGCCCCCTCACTGTGACCAGCGAGAGCTCAGACAGGACTCAGGCATGAAGTGGCCAGAGCTAGTCCAGGACCAGTCCTCTTTCCCCCCCCTTGTCATTCTTGTGACTGGAGTTTTAATGAAGGTCTCCTGGCCAACACAAGCCCCTTCCTTAAACCAGCCACCCTGTGATTATCAACAGGGGGGGTGGCAGTGGTCAACGTGAAGGAGACTTGGCCAAGGCAGAGCAGAAAACTGCAAGGGGAAAGCAGGAAAGAATTTACATTATTACAAAACACAGTTTGAATCTTCCCAGGCCAGCAAGAACCCACTGACCATACGAATATTTTATTTCCTTTATGACTTATAAACACTCAAAACACAACATAGACTTAGAGTTCCCAAACAGCCCTGCACAAGCCAGTAGCATCACTTTTGTCCCCTCACCTGTCACTTCACAGTTCCGGGTGCAGATTGCACTTGTCTTCCTCTCCCTCACGCGGGCGCTGCTGTTACCTCTTGCCACGCTCCCCATTTATCGACAGAGCAGGAGAAAAAGTACTCACAGTATAGTCCAGCTTAACATGGTTTCTCCCAGTTGGGTAGTGTAGTGTCTGATGACCATCTTCGCACAGATGGGCTATGTCACCCACCCCAGCTGCACACGGGATTGCTCCGAACCGCTTCAGCAGCCGGGGAGACTGTCACGCTGCGTCCGTGCAACGGGCACAACTGGCTCAGAGATGATGCCCCACGACGTCAACAGTCTTTCAAAACAGGATTTACCGGGTGCACAGAGAAGGACGAGAGTTACCCCCAGCATTGCTGCAGCCAGCGGAAACTCTGCAGATCAGCCTCAAAGCCGGGTCCAGCCTCAGGCTAAACCCTTTGGGTCAGACCCCTCGTCACAAGGAATTCGTGGCCCGGCTCTGCCATTCTGTGCTCTGGCCAGTGGCATCCGCCTCCCCCTTCTGTGTCACCTCTGGTAGCAAAATCATCTCTGCTGAATGAGGGAGGGTTTGCTGGGAATCTCTCAAAATGGAGACAAATCCTTGGGAATTTAAGCAGCACATCTGGCAGGTGACTCAAGAACCCAAATGAACTCTTACCAGAGCTGGCGGCAGAACGAGCCTGAAGAGTTCAAGTGCTGAGAGGCACTGAGGCCTGGAGAGGAGATGGGATTCCAGGTGCTTAGAAATAGTTATTTTGTTATTTCATTCCCAATAAAGTCATCAAAATTCCCACAATTCCTGCACCTTCCAACTTCCAACATGAAGAACTGCAGAATATCAGACTTGGTCAGCTTCCACCAGACGCTGGTGTGGAAGGAGCCCAAAAGAAAGGTTCTGCAGGAAAGTTCCCACCAGAGATGGAAGCCTTGAAATAGCTCGAACCAACTAAAACCAAAACATGGCGTGTTGGGGCCTCTCCAGGAGCGTGTGCTGGGGGTACAGGGTCCTCCTCAGGCTGTGGCAGGCTCAGGCCTCCCGGTCCAGGTTCAATGCCAAGTCCACGTGCAAGCAGCACAGGCACACGGCGCCATCCAGCCCCGCTCCGCAGGGTCTGCACAGCCACACGGAGCCACACCACAGGTCAAACGCTTCTGCTGCCCCGTCCGTCGCAGGACGGACACCCCGACCTGCTGGGATCTACACGAACTCGGTGAAATCGTCCACCGAGGAGATGAGCCGCTTCCTCTGCCCGGTCTCGTAGGTGGGAGGAGGGTCCTGAGGGATCTGTGGAGGCGGCTTTGTCGGAGCTGATGGGTGCATCTGCAGGGGAAGGCCGGGAGTCTGGTACTGGGTTTCTTCACGTAGCTGAAAGTCAAACGAGAAGGGGTGAGCTCCACCCTCCCTGATACTCTCTTTGCTCTCCACAAGGGCAGGGCAGCACAGCTCGCTCAGCACAGCTTGTCCAGCCCCAGCACGGAGCCCGGCGGGAGCAGCTCCGGGTGCAGGCCCCCACCCTGCCGCCGCCCGGGCAGCTGTCAGCAAGCCCAGACCTCTGCAGCTACCCTGATCATTCCCACAAGAGCTGAATTCCACCCTTCGCACACGTGTTCCTTCTCTTACTCAGCAAGATGCAAGAGATGATTTTACGTGCCTTATTTGTAATGAGGCTCTAAGATAGAGCCCGGCTGCAAACCCCTAGAACAGCTTTACTCATCCAGTTCCAAACCCCTACAACAGCTTTACTCACCCGGTGCCGTAGCCTCTTGATATGCCGGAGCCTGGCAATCCATTTGGATGGGTAAGTGTCTGTGGGGTTCGATCGGCTGTGATGAACCTGGGAAGCCATCTGGTTTGGGAAGGGCAGGGAGAAGCCAAGAAAGAGGAGGCACGTTAACATAACCAAGACAATAAAATTAACTGAATGTTTTAGTACAGTTTGACAGCAACTGAAATACAGCTCTAAGTTATAACTGTTCACGTGCTAACTCTGACTTAAAGGTTGACAGCAGTAATTGAAAACTCATTTATTTGCTTTAGCAAACCCTACGCATTTCCACAGAAGGTGACGATGGACCAAGACACCAGCAGAAAGACGGGGGGTCTCAGGGAGCTCAGGGGACTCACGTTAGCGTGCAAGGCCATCTGACGGGCTACGAATGGCAGGTTCTTATCGGAGATGATCTTAGCGACGCTCGTGTCTACAAGACCCTCCATGTCTTTATTTTAAAAGAAGAAGAAAAAGAATTCTTGTAAGACAGTTGAGAACAAGCCAGAGGTTGCCAGTAACTAAACAGAGAAGTAATAAAAGCCTGAGGGATTGCACCACCGAGTCTCAGAAGTTCCCAACTGTAACAGAACTTGCACAGCAACTTAACACAACTGGCTCTCAAATTCTGGCTGCTCTGTAAAGGCTTTGAGGAGTCCACTGGGCTCTATCACACAAACCAAAGCGTGAGCCAAAACCACCCTGGGAGTAAGGGGGAAGCAAAGGCCCCTGCAGATCACTGCACCAGCACTGCTGCACTCGCACAGAGCCACGATGGGGTGGCGAGGTGCTGCAGCGCTAGGAAGGACAGCAGAGAGCACCCCAGAGCCACAGGGATCTCCACAGTCCTCCTGTATTCCCCAGCATGTGCGGGAGGGACCCGCTCGACTCTGCTGGCACTGTGTCTCCAGCTTGAAGATAAGTTGGAGTGGTAGAGTGGGAAGATACCTCTTATCTCAGGGAAGATTCATGAGCAGGACATCTCCAGATACAACTGGGCAGCAAATTGGTTTCAGAGAGTCCCTCTGGGAAATTTTTACTTTTGAAACACAAGAAGACTCCAAAGTGAAGGCAGTTATTGCACCAGCAATACAGGAAAGGCTGGAGGGTTTCCTACCTTTCCGACACTGCAGCGTCACCAGGTTACAGTCATAGTCCAGTGGTGTGATGATAACATGCACAAAATTGAACTGACCCTAATGAGAAAACCCATAAAACAGCATTATACATTTACTGGCAGCCATCGTGACTGTTGTGAATGTCATAAACCAAGACATGTGAACCCACCAAGGCAAATAACCTCCATTCATGATCTCAGCACTGTTTGCTAAGATAACACACATCAGATTAAAGTTCTAGGAACAGCCACATGCCTCTTTTATAACACACCCACAGGTAGAATCCTGTACCTTTATTGTTCCCAGTTTAAAGTCTTCTCCAGAATCATTGTAAACGATAGAAACAAAATCATTCCCGAGGTGCCTCTTCTTGTCACAGCGATATTTATCCAAATCCTTTGTGGGCATCAGAGTAGCAATGTGGAAAATGGCTGAAGAGGAAAAAAGAAAAATTGTGAGGCTGGCCTGGGATTATGAGTAGCAGTGGTCAACATGCAGCACTTGTCTGGAAGACAAGGTAGTACCAGCAGCACAATAATAAAAAGTGTTAAATTGTGCTCCCTCGAGAGTCTTGTCCCCGTCTGAATCCAGCTGCATCCAGCCCCAGTGGGCTGCTCCTGCGGTGCCAGGAGCCTCACAGCTCTGCTCCTGCCAGTTCTGAGGCGCTGCCCTGCAGAGCCTTCTCTAGCACTAGGCTCAGCAAAGTCAGTCCAGGGCCTGGCTTTCCACACACACCTGATGCCCACTGGAGAAGTGTGCTCACCCAGCTGGGGTAGCCAGCTCTCTGCTCACAGAACACAAACAGGGGACTGCAGAAATGCTCCTGGGTATTTTTTCCATGACTGCAGGAGCATGGTGAGTAGAATCTGGTTTGAGGAGGAAAAATTAAATAGCTTAAACCAGGACTTCCCCCAATTGAGCTCTGCAGAGCACAAGAGCCACAGTAACTGCAGCTGCTCCACTGAACCAGCCTAAGCAGGACAGCAGGGATGAAGAGAGATGTATGAAAACATGTGGGAAGTTCATCCAGATCCTGGATGTTCTCTGCACTGCTTGGTGCTGCAGGAGCTGGGTAATGCTGCAGTCCAATTAGCAGTGACCACAGTAATGACAACCTCCTGCTTTCAACACCCATCTTCAGAGAAGCGATTAGCAGAGTTCTGACCCCACCCTCAATTAACAGCCTTCATAGTAGCTCAGGGACAGCTTATTCTACAAACCTCTACAACAATCCGTATCAGCTTTCAATAGAGCAGACTATTTTAAAAGTAAGCAGTATGATTTTTTTTTTTTTCCTTAAATAAGGCCAGTACTTCTCCCAAACTTTAATACATGGCTTGCAGAGACACCAGAGAGAGAACGGGAGGAGAAGAGAGCCCCAGGTCGTCTTTACTACCTCCCTCAAAAGGAAACAGTTTGCAAAAGGCAGGTCAGTGTTAGGATGAGAAAAGCCCACCCTTCCACTTCCAATTTGTGGGGCCACCTTACCTTGCATGATGTCATCATGCCAACAGTAGGTAAACTGTCCATCCTCTCCACACACATCCAGGCCACCAAGGTAAATTTTATCAGGCTGACAGTCTTTGAGCTCAATGAGCTTCCCTAAGCCAGTCAGGAACTCTGTGTAGCGATAGGATCCGTGTTCGTTTGACA